ATAAACCAATTACAGCACTTGCAAATGAAGGGAAATATTTATATTCAGGATCAAATGAAGGACATATTGTTAGATGGGAAAAAGCAACAGGAAAAGCAGTTGGAATTAGAGGAAAAGGACATTGTACAAGAATAAATGATATTGTTAATTGTGGAGATAAAATTGCTACACTTGGATCAGATGATTGTGTTAAGATTATAGATAAAAATAAATTAGAATATGAATTAAGTATTAGTACAGAATCACCAGCAAATTGTGGAGTATTCTATAATAATAGAATATATGTTGGAACTAATAAAGGAATTAAAGTTATTCAAGGAAATCAAATTATTCAAAGTATTGGTCATAATAATGGAGTTGCAACAATTGCAATAAATGGAGATAAGAGTATACTTAGTGTAGGATTAAAAAATGAAGGATGTATTAAATTTTATTCAATTAATGGAAATGGAGAAATAACAGAAAAAGGAGAAATTAAAGAAGATATTCAAGGAACAGTTTATAGTATGGACTATTCAAGTGATGGTAAATATTTCATTCACTCAGATGATACAAGAAAAATTGTACTTCGAGATGCTAAAACTAATGAAGTTATTTATTCTAGATGGGTTCCTCATAATTCAAAAGTCTTAAAAATTAAATTTAATAAAGATAATACAATGATTGCTACAGCAGGAGCAGATTCATATTCATATGTCTTGAATGTTGAAACAAAAGCAATCACAACATTAGGAAGACTTCATCCACTTGGTGTCAATGATGTATTCATTGATGAAGATGGAAAGATCTTTACTTGTGGAGCTGATTGTACAATCAAAGTCTCTTCTCTCTAATTCTTTTCTTTTTTCTTTATTTTTTTTTTCTATTTAGTCAAACCCTAAAAACTTAACAAAACAAAGTAAATTACTTGAAGATGAGAATTATTGTTCAACGTGTATTAAGTGGTTCAGTTACAAAAGTTGAAAGTGGAGAGGTAGTTGGAAAGATTGGTAAAGGGTTATTGCTTTATTTTGGAATCAATGAAGAGGATAAAGAAAGTGATATTGATGGTGCAGTTAATAAAGTGTTGAAGATGAAATTATGGGATAGCGAAGATGGTAAGAGGTGGAGTAAAAGTGTAATGGACATGGGGTATGAAGTTCTTGTAGTGAGTCAATTTACTTTATACGCGATTTTGAATGGGACAAAGCCAGACTTTCATAAGAGTATGAGAGCAGAGAAAAGCCATCCTTTTTATGATTTAGTAGTTAAAAGATTTAAAGAGTTATATACAGAAGACAAGATACAAATAGGTGCATTTGGTCAGTATATGAAAATTAGTACTGAGGTAGATGGTCCAGTTAATATAATTATTGATTATCCTAAAGAAACAGAAAATAACCAGAAACAACAAAAACAGGCAAAAAGTAATAGTCAAGTTACTGTTGGCACAAAAAAAGTAAATCAAAAGAAAGTTGGTCAAAAAGAAAAAGAAAATAGTTTGAAAGATGAAAAGAAATAAAGAGGATTAATAAATTAATTTTATTATAATATATTATTACTTTTCTTTTTTAAAAAGGGAAGAACTTGGAAAGAAAAATATGATTGATTGGAAGAATATACAAATAAAAGTTGTTGAACAGTTAAAAGAACTAGTACAGGCAAAGTATGGACTTTTTGAGAACGGTAATGTTTTAGAAATTCGAACAAAAAGAAATTTAAAAAGATTTTGTTATGCGTACCTATTTATTATTTGTTGTTTTACTGTTGTTGAATGTTTGTTCATTCCATTTATGACATTACCAATTTTAATTGCATTTATTCCTTATATCTTCATTAAGACTCTCTGTAAGTGGAACGTTTCATTACCTGAGAAAATTTTTGGATATCCATTAGATTTTGTTTGTGTGATTGTTGGGTTAATGGCTTCAAATCTGTTCTGTTTTATTTCAGGTACTCGATATGTTGTATATAATTTTATCACATTTACAGTTTCAAGCGTTTCTGTACAAGCACATATAATATTGTGTGTATCTGATTTAGAGTTGGAAATTAAAGAAGAGAAACAACCAAAACAGAATGAAGAAGAGTATAAATCACAAAATAAAGAAGAGACTAAAGAAGAGACTAAAGAAGAGACTAAAGAAGAAAATAAAGAAGAAAATAAAGAAAGCAAAGTAGTTACTCCTTCTTCTCAAATTCATTCAAGGCTTTCGAACATTAAAGAAGATGAAGAATTATCTTCATCTTCAAGTGATGAGGTAGAGTCAAAACAGTAAATGATTTGGTTGTTAGCGGTTTCAAAATTAGTTATATTTTAAAAAAAGAGTGGTATAGATGAGGTGGATACTCTAAATATTGAAAATAATTGTTTAGTTTCTTACATATATAAATATTTATTTTAAAATTAATTTTATTATAATAATTGATATTGTGATATTGTATTGTATAAAATAGTAAATATATGATGATTAACAATTGTATTCTTTATATTTTTTATTTAATTTATGTTTATTTTGATTATTTATAATTTTCTTATTAATTAATAATAAAAGATTTCTCAACTATTATTTCATTATTTTAACATGATTTTTATCTAATTATCCAATAAGTATACCAAATAAAATACTAAATGAAAGGACTGTATTAATACGTAAAGAAGGAAATCCATTAAATCATAAAAATTACAGACATATCACATGTTTAAGTTATGTATTAAAAGTATTATTACAATTATAAAAAATAAAATTAAACAATAATTACTAAAGAATAATATAAATAAAATAAACAAAAAACACAATTAGATGTAAGAGATCTCATATGCATCTAAAAAATATTTACTTGAAAGTACATTATTACACATATACCTTAATAGAAATAAAAGAAAATGAATAGAAGTATTAAATAAAGGATAACAAAAATAAATTATTACAAATGATTATTGAGCTAATGTAATTGTAATAACTTTTAACAATAAAATCAAGAAAAGTAAATTTCAAAAAGAGGTATTGAAATGAAAATTCAGGGATAACTAGTAAGTGACTGATCCTTAGTTATGAATCAACTCAGGTGAATAAATGGTATATAGATGATAATTTGAACACAAGACTTGATTAGTCAAATTAATTTAATGAATTGTTTGGAATTAAAATAACAGTTTAAATTATTGTCAATAATTTATTTCTATTTATAAATGAATATTGAATGAATCAAAAATTAACAAAAGTGTATAACTAATAAAATAAACAAATACCCCTTAAATTTATTCAATATATTATTTGATAAAGTTTATGAATATGGTAATTGGAAATGAAAAAAATTAATAATAAATCATATAAGATTGACAGAATACTTTATCAAAAGTATTTTTAATAAAATAAGTTATTTACAAAGATTGTATAATAACAAAAAATTAAATACAACGTTTAATTAAATTATGTTATAGATAGCCAACAATTTAAATTAGCAATACTTATCTCATAACTTACCTATATTATTTATAGTATAGCACTTTCTAATTCAGTTTTACTTATTGTTTTTTGCTAATTAAAAATTTTGCCTTAGATATCATTCAATAAATTTGTAAAACCTCACAAACTATACAAGTTTTAAACACTAAAAATAAGAGGATTAACACAATGAAAGAATATAAAAATAAAGAATGCTTAAATTTTTACTGAATTATTTTGGTGGTTGTTGTGGATAACCTGGATATGCACCATATCCTTGTTGTGGGTATCCTGGTTGTTGACCTTGAACACCTTGTTGTGGATAACCTGGATATGCACCATATCCTTGTTGTGGATAACCTGGGTATTGTTGTTGAGCTGGTGCTCCTGGTTGTTGTGGTGCTGAATATTGTTGGCCTTGTGGTGCTTGTTGAGGATAACCACCTTGTTGAGGATAACCACCTTGTTGTGGATAACCTGGGTATTGTTGTTGAGCTGGTGCTCCTGGTTGGGTTGCTGGTTTTCCAGAGGAACCTTGTGGTTGTTGTTGGGTTGGTGCTCTTGGTTGTTGTGGTGGATAGCCTGGGTATTGTTGTTGGCTTTGTGGTGCTTGTTGAGGATAACCTGGATATGCACCGTATCCTTGTTGAGGATAGCCTGGGTATTGTTGTTGGCCTTGTGGTGCTTGTTGAGGATAACCTGGGTATTGTTGTTGGACTGGTGCTCCTGGTTGTTGTGGTGGATAACCTGGATACTGTTGTTGGCCTTGTGGTGGATAACCTGGGTATTGTTGTTGAGGATAACCTGGATATGCACCGTATCCTTGTTGAGCACCTTGTTGAGGACCTGGATATTGTTGAGCAGGTTTAGCACTAGATTGTTGTGAGGTTTTTGCACTAGAAGAACTAGAGATGATAGTGTATTGAATACAAATAGAACCCTTAGTGGATAAAGGAAGTTCGTTATTAGACATTTGGCCTGGTGGAAGCTTTTGAATAACCAAAGAAGCATTTCCCATATGGTCATCTTTACCATGTTTATCATAGTCCATGACAGTAAAAGTAGCCATAGTTCCAGGAACAACGTTATAGAATTCAAAAGTATCTCCCCAAGTTGGATTCAAATTTTTCGTAACAGTCTTTGTTTTTCTTTGTTCAATACCAACTGAAACAATAACATAAGGATCAGAAGAACGAATGTCCATAGCTTTTAATTGTTTACCACTAACAACAGTTAATCTAATAGCCATTGTTTCTGGTCCACTATTTGTTGGTTTAGCATTTGTTTGTGCATTTTGAGCAAAAGGTGAAGTATATCCTACAGACATAACAAAATTTTATGAACAGATTATTAGTTTCGTTTGAATGTTTTTATCATGAGAAGAACATTCCATTTGATCTTTTTAGTATTATTTATTCCTCTTTCTTCATTTTTTGAAAAATAGAAACCTTAAAACTAAAAAATAAAAATAAATAGTTATTGAAATATCCCGATAATTTCCATTTAATTAAAGTAAAATAAAAAAAGTAAAAATATTAATGAGATTAGAACAGACGTTCAAAAAGAAGTTCTGTGAGAAAAGAATAAAAAATGATCAGTTAATAGAAAGAAGTATTAAGTAAATAAAGTTATAATTCATAATATCCTTTGTTTTCCATTGTATTTCCAAAGAGAATTAATAATTTATTTTTAAGTAATGTGTAGAAATAATATGATATAGAGAATAATGATACAATCAATACTATTCCAAATAAAATATATATTGAAATCCTATTTGATGCAAATACTTCAATTTGAATTAATCCCATATCCATTGAATTTTTACCTCCAATAAATAGAATTTCATTTGTATGAACAATTACTTTTTCTCCATTTCTACAATATCCTTTTAAATGTCTATTATTTAGAACAGTAGAACAATCAGATAACACTTCGATCCTTGATGTTACCATAGAATTACATGTTGTTACAACTGCATCTCTACCTTTATAAAGAAGAAATGCACCTTTCGACTGAATATCAGGTCGGTTAGGTAATAAAACATATCTATTATTATAAGTATAAATAAAATGAGTCCCATCTGTAATTTCTGTAGGACTTAAACAATTATCATTTGAATATTCAATGTCCTTATATACATTTAATCGATATGGTCCAATACTTCGTTCAGACTTATGTGACACATCAACAACAACAATAAATTTCCCAACAAATTTTTCTCGAATAAATGAAGCAGTATTTCCACATATTTCAGAATCGTCATTCATTGTCAGTGGTCTATATGAATTACAACTTGAATACACAGTAATGACTGTATCTATTTGAGTGTCAGGACCACATGTTTCAATAATAAATATTGATCCATCTCCCTCAAATGAATAATAATGTTTTTTATCTTGAAGAATTCCTAAAGTAGAGAATGGTGTTGTTTGAATAGTATCAGAACAATCGGTTTTTTTAATTGGAACAACAAATAATGAAACTCCAGAAACAAGAACTGATGAAGCACTAACAACAAAAAAATATTCTCCATTTTTTTTAAATGTTGTTGTTAATACTCGACTTTCTTCTTTACATGGCCCTCTACATGTTTTTGTATAAATAACATTACTACTAGCATTAAATCCATCAATAACTCCTCCAAATATCATAAAATCTTTGTTAACTCTTGAGTTTAATAAATACCAACTACCGTGAATACTTATTGGTTCACATGGATGTGAAAGATGTCCAATTTTACTATGTGAAACAATTCCTTCTTCTCCAATTTCAAGTATAACAGGATGTTTACATTCTTCTGAACTTTGGAGTATTCTTTGAACAAGTAAAGTTGCTTTACATTTATTACTTTCTTGACAAGACACTTTAATGAAATACTCTTTCTTGTATTCTAATTTCTTAATAATTCGACCATGAATTCCACAACCAAAACTATCACGTTTACATTCCCCATTTGAATCAAATATTTCAACTGTTGTACCAATTCCTTCTCTTAACAGTGATGATTCACATGTTGATATCAAATAGTCTTCACCTGTTCCAATAATTGCATACCATGTTCCACTATCTTCGGGATATCCTCCACATGACTTAGAAATTTCACCTGATGGTTTACTTGAATGTAAAAATGGTAGTTCTCTAATTGCAATTGGTGTTTGTTGAGTTGAAGGTAATTTAAGTGAAAGAATAAAATGACCTGGGTTATTTGTTTTTACTTGAAGTGAATGAAATGTTTTTCCAATAGGAACAGTTAGTTCAGCACCAAAATAATGAGAAGGGCAATTGTCTACGACTTGTTGTTGATTTGGTGTATTTTTATCGAGGACTAATGTTATTTGAGTATCTGTGAGAGGGTGACAAGTTGAAACTTTAATTGGAGCAGAATCTAATCCTTCAAATGTGTAATACAAAACTGAGGAATTTAGCCCTGAAGTAATTCCCTCAATAGATGTTGGAGTTGATAATTTTTCTGGTATTAAAGGATTAGTATTTTCACGTTTAGGAAGTGGAGATACTCTCAGTCCAAATATTCCAGTGTCTAATTGAGTAGCTCCAGTAATAAAAATGTAAGAAGGTTTTGTGAAATGATAAGTCAGTCTTGAGGCTTTTCCACAGCCATCTATCCCATCATCATTTATTGCTAGTAATTTTGAACCTGAATTATTTTCACATTGACTGAAAATCATAATTTTAGTATCAAAAGCAGTATGTCCTGTAAAACAAGTATCAATAATAAGTGTTTGTGGAGTTGATAATGAAACCCTATACCAAACTCCTTTTTGTGAATAAAGATGTCGTTTTAAAATATAATAACTATCAGGTGTTTTTGAAGTATCAGCAGTGTGTTGAAATATTTCAGAATGAGAGAAGTTAATATCAACGGCGTTATTACATGTAGTTTGACCAAAACAAATAAAAATAAAATAAATAAACAATAAAAACATTGACACAAAAAAATTTTAAAATTCAAAGTTCTTTTTTTGTTTTAGATTTTTTTTCAGAATTTTCAAATTGAAAAGTTGAAGAATTAAAAAGTACTTTAATTGTTATTATCTACAAAAATAGAACTATTAACTTGTTGTTCATCATGCTATTGCCTCTTCTTTTTATTACTTTAACTTCAGCAAATAAGAAGTTTTGGTTAATTACTGATACACACTTTGATGATGAATTTGTTGTTGGTAGTTCTTCAAAGTGTCTGGCTATTGACTGTTGTCATTCTAATTCTATACCTAGAAAAGGACAGGAAAATTCTATCAGTGGTCCTTGTGGAGATTATAACTGTTACTCCCCTCTTAATGTCTCAGAATCTGCTTTTGATTACATTGCGAAACACCAATCAGAAAGTAAATTAATATTTTGGTTAATGGACGTTGTTCCTGGTGATGTGATAACTCAAAGTAAAGAAACAAATAAAAGAAGAATTCAATTACAAGTTGAAGCATTAAAGAAACGATTACCAGGTTTCAGAGTATATCCAGTACCAGGAAATCATGATTATTGGTTGTCAAGTAATTGGCAATACCCTCCTCAAAATCAGTGGATGTTAGATTTTATGGGGGATCTTTTTAAAGACTGGCTTTCTCCAAATGCATTAGAACAATTTAAAAAAGGAGGATTTTACACTGAATTAATTGATTCTGGAGTAAGAATTATTGCACTTCATCTTGCTTATGTTGATGTTTATGGTAGTCATTGTAATGAGTATGTTGAAAATGATCCAGCAGGAATGATGAAATGGTTTAATGAGACATTAGAATTAGCTAGAAAGAATGGAGAAAGAGTTATTTTATTAAGTCACGAAGGAGTTGGATTAAAAGAAAGTGGAACTATTGATGTTGTTCCAAAGTTTAATGAAGATTTTGGTTATGCAATGAATGAGTATTCTGACATTATTATTAGTCATCTTTCAGGTCATTCACATTTTAATTCATTTAGAGTATTACCAAATATTACAAAACCAACATTTCATATAATAATGAATCCAGCTATGACTTCATTTAAGAATTTGAATCCAAGATTTAGATTATATGAATATGATAGAAAGAGTATTAAAGATTATACAAATTATATTCTTGACATTAATAAATGCAATAAAAATAATAAATTTGAATGGGAAATAGAATATAATGCTAAAGAATTATTTGGTATTGAAGAATATACAACAAAAAATTTAAAAGAATTTATTGAACAATTAGCAGTAGATGATGAATTATGGAATAAATTTGATTCTCACTATTCTACAATTAATAGAAAATGTAAAGATAATTGTAGAAAGGATTTATTATGTTCAACTCATTGTATGAAAGAGAATGAGTTTATTACTTGTATTAATCAAAAATAAGAATCAAGTAAATAATTAAAATTCTTTTAGTTTACTTTTTATTTAAAATTAAATTATTTTATTTTTTAAATAAAAATCACTTATATTAACAAAATTGAGAACATATTAATACTCCATCTTCTGAACCAGTAGATAATGTACAATCATTTAATGAAACACATGTTACAGTACTTGGATGCATGTACATCATTAATACATTTTCAAACCACCCACGTGATAAGTCACAACAATAAACTGCTTTATCTGTTCCTCCACTTACTACTTTCCTATTGAAACAAAACATTGAATTAATTGCATTAAAATGTACAGTCCTTTCACAACAACACATATTAATTCTCAAATCCCACATTTTCATTCTTCCTTTACAAGACCCACTGATAATAAAGTCATCAATCCAATCAAAAGAAGTTAATTCTTCTCTATAACTTAATGTTCTAAAAGCAAGTTGATTGGAACGTAAATCAAAACCAGCAATAGTTCCATCAATAGAAGATGATACAACAATATTTGGATTAATACAACAAAAATGTGTTATTTCAACAGAATGAGGAACAAATTTATTAAGAGTTTTTTGTGAAATAAAATCAACAACAGATAATGTTGTATCATTTAGTCCAACAATTATAGAATTATTTACAAAACTAACTTTTTCATATGGATGACATTCATATTTTGTAAATTTAAGAGTACTATTTGTATATTTTCTTATTTCTCCTGATCTAAAATAAACATAAAGATCATTTGAATAATCAAAACTACATTTCATCCCTGCAAGAAGACTCATAGGTAATCCTTCACGAACTTTAATAAATTCATTATTTTTTGTTTCAATTCTAGAAAAATATCCATTTTCACTTCCTACAACAATACAATCATCATTTTTTACTCTAATATAATTAATTGGTGCATAAAATGGAGTGAGTATACTTCTTTTAGACCATTTTTTATTTCTCCAGTTTTGACGTATTTTATAACACTTTCTTACAAGTAATGAATAATTTTTAATGTTACTATGTTCTGAAGTAAAAAATGTTTTTGGTTGAGTTTGAGGATTATAATATAAATCATAAAAGTTTCTCCAAATATCTGTACTTTCATCTATTAACTTTTTAAAACGATTACAAGTACATCTTAAACTCATAAGATCTTCAAGACATAACATTTTAATTAAATAATGAAAACTACGATCATCAAGAAGATAAATAAAACAATGATTAATTTTGGTAATATCCTTTTTTCTTTCTAATTGTTGTAAGCGTTTTCTATCTTCAATAGTTCTTTTTATTTGTAATGCACAAAATAACATATTTTTTGCTAAGTTTAAATCTCCTGAATTTGGTCTATCAATTTTAAGACTAACATTTTGTTCAAAACCAATTCTCATTATGAGTTTAGCAATAATAATATTACGAATACATCCACTAAACCTTTTAACATCATTAAGATTTAATTCAGGAACAAAATAATGATAATAAAATATAGATTTTGCTTTTCCATTAAATGTTTCTGTTCTTTCAGCAGAAAGAACAACAGCAAATTTTACAGGACTTACGTGATGGTATTGACATAAACTAATTCCTTGTCCAACACTTTGACATCCAAAAAAAATATTACCTTCAGAAATAGTTTTACCAATAATTAAATCAGTTGAAACCAATTCTTTACTAAAAAAAGGTGATTCTTTATGAAAACATTTTTGACGATTTCCTTTCTTTAATAGAGTACTTTTAGGATAAATAATATTGCCATAAACTTTATGCTCTAAATCTTCTAAAAGAACATTAAATTTTTGATGATACTCACTTGATCCTTTTATAACAATTTCAGTAAAATCATAGTTTGCAAAAACATTAAATACAGCATTTCTATGAATAATTACTGGAAAAACATCTTGGTTGTAAACCATTTTATTAAACGTTCTTTCTAAAAACATCATGTCTTTAACTTCTTGATCTCCACTGATATGATCAAAGATATTACTAATGAATTTCCTTTGTAAATTAACCAAATGAAATAAAGAACCTTTAGAATTTTCTTGGACAAGAAATTTTGATTGCATAACAAATGAAGTCATTTTATTTTCGTCTTTTGCATAAAATAAATGATAATTCCAAATTGGTTGTTGAAAATGTGAAAAAACATGAGCACATTCTTGTGGAGAAATTTCTTTATATCTATATGAATGTGTAACTCTACCATAAAATTTTGTTGGATCCATTATAATAACATTATTAATAAAAAAGTCATCAAAACTTTCTGTTTCTAAAACACTTGGAAGTAATTCAGTAATTCGTTCAATTCTTTCTAATATATTTTTAATTAATAAATAGTATTTAGGAATTGTAGCATATGATCGTAAAATAGTTTCATTTTTTTTTGATAATAAATATGTTCTAATTAATACTATTGGATTTTCTAATTCATTATCTATTAATTGCCATTCTTCTGTTATTGTTTTGTTATTTAATTCTTTTACTAAATAAATAACTTCCTCATCTAATTCATTACTTATTTCTTTAATTCCATTTTGTGTTGAACATCTCCCTTGAAGGACTTTATTAGATATATGAAATGAATGAACTATTTCAGACATCTCTTTAGAAGAATTTGTTTTTAAGTTCTCTTTTTTTCTATTTCCATAGCAATAACTCTTCGAACCTTTAAAATTAATTCAAAATAATATAAAATACCCTGGTTCTAATTAATAAATTTATAAAAAGTGATATCTAATTATCCTTCATTACAACTATTATTAAACTATTGACTCACAGTTGATTCTAATTATGTAATGATATTGTAATATATTTTATATATTTATCCTCATTTCTATTTTTTTTTTTGAATATTTATTGAAGTATGTCATTGTTAATGAAGCTATTAATTTCTTTTTTTTTATTCCAATTATTCTATCATATAAACTTACTTATATTTTATAGTTTATTACTTTTTAAAAAAAAAAGAATGTTAAATATTTTATTTATGAAACTTTAATAAATAATAAATCTATATAATGTAAAAAAATTAAAATTCTAAATTTAAAAAATATCAATCATTTACTATTAGTATTTTGAAGATATGACGGTTTCAAATGATCAGGTCGTTTATCTTTTTTTACATTTTTCATTCGACTTCTTGTTTTTGTTTTCTTTCTTTTCTTTTCTTCTCCACCTTTTTGTGGTTTTTTTTCATTTTTATGTTTTTCTGAGTGTTGGTTTGATTGTTGTGATTCATGGGAAAAAGTTTCAATAATATCTCTAGTGTTAGTTTCCTTTTTATTTCCTTCAACATCCTCAAATAAAGTAATTTCATCATTTATTAATTGAGGGGATGATTTCTTTGAATATTTTTTTTTGGGTTGTTGAATTTCTTTTTTTTCTTTTATTAATTCTTCTTCTGAGTTATTACTTTCTTTTATAACTTCTTCTTTTAAATCATTAATTTCTTTTATATCTTTTTCTTGTATTGTTTTTGTTTCTTTTAGTTGATTAATACCTTCGTTTATAACATCTGTTGAAGATTCTATTTGATTAAATCTATTCTTTTTCGATGGGTCTTCTTTTATTTCAACTTTAGCTTCTTTGTGTTTGTTTATCTTTTCTTGTTTGTCTTTTTTTGTCTTTGGTCTAAATTTTTCAATTGGATTAACGTATTTCTTTTTTTTTATTAAAAGTTGAGATTTGGTTTCTTCGCTATCATCACTTTCATTTTCTCTTTCTTCTTGTTGTAGAACAAATTGTTGTTTCTTCTTGCCAACACTATTTTTTAATTGTCTTCTTAATCCGTCAGTGACATCTGACCGATTAATTTTTTCCATGTTAGTGTAAATATCTTTTAAAGTTCTCAAACCCTAGTGGTTTGATATTTTAAGGGATAATGTAATAATCAAAAAGAAAACAAAGGGGTTTTTATATATCAACTCAATAGAAGAGAACTTCTTCGTTATGTAAAAGAAGAAAAAACTTATTGAATAGAGAACAATGAAATTATTTTTTGTTTTTGATTCTAAAAAATGACAAAATAATCTTTTTTTCTTTGATAAACAAAATATGAAAAAATTTTCAGTGATGTGGATCCAAAAAGATGTAAATTGCTGTTAAAGATATGATTTATGCCAGAAAGTGTTTCTTTTCAAAAACTAGGAAAATAGAAACCCTTTCACTGTTTAATTCAAATGAATTTTTTCTCTAAGAAACCAAGTAGTGCCTTTACTTCATATTTCTCGAACGAAGAAGAAGGTCTACATTCTCCAAATAAGAAATATATTACAAAATATTTGACTTCAAAAATTTTTGATGTATTCTATCGTTGTTCTCCTCGCCTTACTGATCCTACAACAGGGATGTCCCCATTATACTTAACTGCTCCATCTATCCCTCGTCATAATAGTAATTATGATAATGAGAATTATGACTTAATAGTTAAACTTAATGATGTCCTTGGAAGTGCCACATCTTTTGAAGGGCCATATTATTCTGCTAATCCTGATACTGTTTCAAGATATAAAATTACTGATCGTCTTGGACAAGGGATGTTTGGACAAGTATTTAAAGCTCGAGACCTTATGAAAAATAAAGATGTTGCCATTAAAGTATTACGTTCAAAATTTTCATATTTTAGACAAGGAATGTTAGAAGTAGCTATGTTATCATTGTTAAATGATGCATATGATAAAGATGGATCATCAAATACAGTGAGATTAGTTGATCATTTTCTATATCATTCTCATCTTTGTATTGTTACTGAGTTATTAGGAAAAAATTTGTATCAAGCTATTCAAGCAAGAAATTATAAAGGATTTCCTGTTAATATTATTAGAAATTATATGAAATCATTACTTCAATGTTTATCAGTGTTAGAAGATGCAAGTATTGTTCATTGTGATGTTAAACCAGAAAATATGTTACTTGATCCAACATCAAAGAAGGTCAGAGTGATAGATTTTGGTTCTGCATGTTTTTCTACATATACACTTTATACTTATATTCAATCAAGACATTACAGAGCACCAGAAGTTATTTTAGGATTACCATATTCATGTGCTATTGATGTCTGGAGTGCTGGATGTATATGTGCTGAATTAATATTAGGAATTCCATTATTCCCCGGAAGTTCTGAATATAATGAATTATATAAAATTACTGATATGTTAGGACAACCTCCAGATTATATATTAGAACAAGGTACTACAACACAAAATTTTTATAACAAAATGCCAACAATTGGTGGTCGAATTAAATATATTTTTAAACAACCATTTGAATATGAAATGGAAAATGCAGTTGAACTTGAACCTGATAAAAGGTATTTTAGGTATCGTACTTTAGATGAACTGATTATGAGAATTCCCATGAAACTTTCAGATAATCCTTTGGAAGATAAAGGCTCTATTTCTGAAACTCGTCAGTCTATGCTTCATTTTATTCATGGGTTATTACAATATGACCCAGATTCAAGATGGACAGCTAAACAAGCGTTAGACCATCCTTTTATAACTCAAGCTCCATTCACAAAAAATTGGCAACCAAAACCACGTAAAGTTAAACCAGTTAAACCATCACTAATATCTGGAATTGAATTCCAAAAAAGATGTTTCCCTGGATTAAAATTAAGTCATCGTTTAAATACTCAAGAATATTATGACATTTTTACAGCTTCATTACAAAAAGGAGAAGTTGTCAATATTTCATCTTCTAATCCATTCCAATTAGGTCCAATGACTCCTTCTTCATTTAGAGAAGTTTATGCAATTAAATCAAAAACAAGTCCATCCCCTATTAATTCTGGAAGTTTTTCAAGAAGATCTTGTTTGGTTAAAACACCATGTCCAAAAACACCTAATATGCCTAGTTCTCCATTTACTTCATTTATTAATTCACCAAGAAGTATGTACATGTCTCCTTCTTTAAGAATTAATTCAAGAGGAGACTATGACGATGATGTTTCTGCAATGAGTTTCTGTAGAAGCAAATTTGCATCAGCTATTCCAATGAAACAGAAAACAAAAATGGACTATGGAGGAATGTCTGTTAATATGGGCTTTTTACCTTCTACTGGTCATGGTCAAGAAAAAGAGGTTGTTAAAGGGGTACCACCAGAAGCAAATATTCCAATCATACCTGTTCCTATTAGAAGAAATGAACCAGAACAAGAGATTGGTACAACAGAGTATGCCCCTGTGTTCATATTCGATGATCTGTAAAAGAAATTTTAATATTTCATTTGGTTTTATTCTACTTATAAAATAATAAGAAAAAAGAATAGCATCATTTTAATAACAATTTTATTCACTATCAGAAAGTTCCATATCAATAGAAAAAAAGCCTTTTCTTTTATGCTGTCACCAAAACTAAATAGTTTGAACTAAAAATATAAGTTAATAATGAAGTGGCTTGTTTTACTCTTTACTTTTTCTTGTTTTGCCATTCCCTGCAAATTTGGATTAACACCAAGTTCAACTGAACTATTTGATTGTCTAAATTCACTCAATATTACTGCAGATCGTGCACATAAAATAAAAACATCATTAAAAAATGCATTTGAAGCATATGTGTATCACGACATTCTCAAAAACCCACCTCAACCAAAAGGATCTGACACTTATCATCATACTGTTGATATTGACCAAAGAATGTCAGAAATTGAAGAAGTAGATCAACCATTTTATCCTTTTTATAAAAAGATTAATAAATTATTACTTGATTTACATGACTTACATATGTATTTTGGGTTTGAGTCATCTAAAGATTATTATTACTGGATTGATCTTATTGGTATTGTCTTACCATTTACTGTTTCAATTAAACAAACTCATGAAGTTCTCTTTTCTCCATTAACTGAAATATTAATGTATGATTTAAAATTACCTTCAGAAATTATAAAAAATAAAGAAGTACCAGTTTCTTCTGTTGATGGTGTTCCAGTGTTAGATTGGATTAGAAATTATGGTAATACTTTTTCTGGTTTAAAAAGTCCACACGCTAGATTTACTTACACAAGACAAACCATTGGGTTATTTATGATAAGTGACAACCCATTAACAAAAGAAGAAATAGATCATGTTTTTGAAATTGAATACACAAATGGAGTTAAGGTCAATTGTTCTTATCAAATAATTAATTTTGGACCAGAAGATCAAGAAGATACTAATAGGGCTCTAAAAGTACGTCAAGTAAAAGAAAGAATTGACAAGAAAAAAAGAAATAGAGCTTTTAATGTCCAACCAATTTTACCAAGTGATTTAGGTTTGACACACCCAAAAAAAGATGTTTCATATGATTATGAACTTAAAGACAATATTGCTTGTAAAGTTATTACTATTAATAACACTATTGTTAATGTTCTTGTTATTCAATCATTTGCTCCAGAAGAATATCAATTACAAACATATGTAAACGTTTATAAAAATTGTATTGAATCTTTTGATGAAAATAATGGCCCAATTAGTGTAATTCTTCCAATGAATGGTGGTGGATATGTTGATCTTGAAGCTTTCATTGAAAAAACATTGGCACCTTCTAATGATGTAAACCAAATTGGAGACATCCGAATTAGTGACCCTTCTTTACGTAGTTTGTCACTTGGATACGATGAACTACTTAGTGACGTTAACTCATGTCAATTAATATATTCTAACTTAACTACTCGAGAAGAGTTTTATGCCTCATCAGTAACTATTAAATATGGAGACATTGAACATGTTAAAACACAAACTGGTATTATCCAATCAGCTGTAACAGATGTCTATTTTAAGAAGAATCCTAGAAATCCAACAGACATAATAGTTATGACTGATGCATTTTGTTATTCGGCATGTTCTTTATTAGCTAAAGGAATGAAAGAAAGAGGTAATGGAATTATTGTTGGGTATTTAGGAGATCCAGAAGGAGAGAAAGAATTATACGATGTAGGACAATCACCAACTGTTGTGGTTTCACCGGATACTATATTCACAGAACAACAACTCATTGACATGAGTAGTGTTTCACTTACTATGCAAATTAGTTTTGCTGAAACATACCTTCATGATTATAGTTACAACCAAACAATTCCAAGAGAGTTTATTATTGAACCAGTTGATGAATTACAATTCTTGGATAGTTATAATAACAGACTAGAATTATTTGCCAGTGCTGCTTTATCTCTTTATAACAAATACCAAACTGATTGTAATCCATCTAATGATAGACTAGTTAAAAGAAGTAAAGATTGTGATTCCAAAATTACAATTGAACATGCTCATGGTGGTTATAAATGTGGAGCTAATGGAAAATGGAGTGATGAATGTGTTGCCACTTATTGTGATAATGGATATTTCTTTGACTTTTACAACAAGAAGTGTGTTGTTGATGTTTGTGGATCAACGATTGAAAGTAGTTCTTCTTCTATGAGTCATGGCAGTGAGACTATTTCTTCTTCTGTAAGTCAGGAGAGTGAAAGTTCAACCAGTGGACGATCACAAAATAATTCATGGACTATTCTCCTTTGGATAGTTGTTGGGTGTATTATCTGTGCAGGGTTAGTGATGGTTATAGTAATTGTTGTGATAATAGTAAGACGTAAGTTCTTCTCCTCAAATTCTTATGATTATTCTAAAGTACCTGAAGTTCCATTGAATTGAGTTTAACATTTAATTTACTTTTTATATTTTTATAATATATTTTTGTTCATTTTATTTTCTGGATTAATGACATTTTTTATAAAGCTTATAGTGTATATAGTTTATCACGTTAACTACAACCTGTTTTAGTTGTAAATTTAAATTAAAGTAGAAGAGGTGATGAATAATTAATTAAGTAAAGAAGGAGTAGAAACATTTCCAAATATTCAACAATCAATTGATGATACTACTAAACATTATCAATATTATTTAGGAAGTTTTAAAAATGAAGTATTTGAGAAACAAGATAATGAAACATATGGACAAGCAATTGAAAGAGGAGAAGGGATATTTGATTGGATGAATGAAGTAGTTAGAAGAAGAAAATTAGTAATAGAAAAAAGACAAAAAATAATTAAATAAATAATTTTTGGTAACCAACATAGTTTAAGATATTGAAATGAAGATAAGAGTCTAAATCAGCTAGTGTTATGAACAAGGTAGCAATTAGAATAAGAAAGTGCAATGAGTATCGATGAAAAAAAAGAACAAAGATGTATAGTGACCATTAAACTGAATAAAGAAATGTATTAAGGACACGTTAATGACTTAAACAAAACTAATAACAAATTCAGCTAATAATAACAAACAATTTTCTATATTAATTTTATTTAATTTGAAAAAAAACAAAAAAATTCTTTATGATTACATCATTTAGGAAAATAGTATTTGTCTGTTTTAAAAAACTTTTTTATTGGAAGAAAAAGGAACTTATAAGTTATATTCTTATTATTAGAAATAAATGCAACATAATTCATTACTTATATGTCAAAGGTGTAAACAAATGCTTTATTCTCATATTGATTTATCTAAAACAATGAATGAAGTTATAAAAAGTGGACAAAGAGATGAAAATTGTTCATTAATTGCAGAACCAGGATTTAAGTCAAAGGCATTTGTATGTGATGAGTGTTTACAAATTGTGTTACATAAAATGGAAGATTATGAAGACTTTGAACGATACCACACAACAAAATGGAATGAACTAACAGAAGAAATAGAAAATATAAAAGAAGATATTGATAACATTGATGTAATTCTTCAAGGATATGAAAATACAAAAGAAAATGAAGAGTCAGTAAAACGGTTAAGAGAACTAAAAGAACAATCTTTTGAACAACTTAATGAATTACTTAAAGAGATTGATAAATTCGATATTGAATGTACAGAAAGTATAGAAAAACAATACTGGGCAATTAACAATAATTTATTAAAAGACATTCAACAATCAACAGACGAGCGACTAGAATTAAGTAATACAATAACATCATTAAAGAATGAGTTACAAACAATTGAAAAACGAAGTATTTTTGGTTCATTGTTTGAAGTTGAATCATTTAATGATGGTTCAGTAACATTATGTGGTATCCCTTTTAAATATTCTATTGATAAAGTTAATGAATTTAATATTGCAATGGGAAAATTAGTATTGGGTATTTATTTAATGGGAAAGAAAATTATTCCTAAACATTCAACAATTCCAATTCCATTTGATGATCGTTCTCAAATATCTGTACAGATAAGTCAAAAGAAAAATGTTTATAACTTATATATTCAAAACCAATCATTCTATTCAGAAGCTGATGAATCATTTAAAGAAGGGTTTAAACATTTGATTTATTATTTTAGTGATTTGTATGAAAAGTGTTCAGACATATGGCCAAAATTAAAAGAAAAATATCACTATGAAATAAAACCAACAACAATGTGTGTATTTGATACAAAATTAAATAAAAGTTATTTACTTATCTTTGACAGAACAAAAATAGAACAATGGAACAAAGCTATTGTTGGGTTATTAAAATTATTTAATTATCTTTCCATTAATTTTGATAGGTTACTTGATATAATAGAGAAAACGAGTGTAATAGTAGCACCAGAAAATGATAACTAAATTCATCACCATCTTATTCTTCCTTTTTGTTTTTATTGTTGAACGGAGAGTCAATAAATAATAAAATAATATTTTTTTTTAATTTATTAATAATTAAAATATAGTTTAATAAAATGAAGAAAAAAAAAAGAAAAAAGATGAAAATTATTAGATCTATGAGAACACAACTCAAGTACTATTTAGAAAATCAAAGTGAACGTGTTAAAACTGCTGTGTTCCATCCAACAGCAACTTTATTAATGTGTTCATTACATAATGGAGATATTCAAATTTGGGATTATCGTACAAAAATATTACTACACACATATCCTCATGCACACAATGGGGCTGTAAGAGGGTTATGTTTCCATCCAAACAGACCACTAGTTGTATCAGGTGGAGATGATTGTGTTATTAGAATGTGGAATTATAGGGATAGTCATTCGGATAATGCGTGTGTTGGAGAATTTAAAGGACATAGTGATTACATTCGATCAACATATTTCCACCCAACAAAACCATGGATATTGAGTTGCAGTGATGATAGAACTATCAGAATATGGAATTATTTGTCATTCAAATGTATAGCTATACTAACTGGTCATGACCATTATGTCCTTTCAGCTCATTTCCATCCTAAACCAGAAATGCCATTTGTTATTTCATCATCGTATGATAACACAGTTCGAGTTTGGGATATTAAAGATTTATATGAAAATGAGCCAAGAGGAGATGGAGCTGTTGATCTTGCTGGATCTGTTAAATTTAATATCACACCAGAACAATTCGCTGTTAATAATGCAATTTTTCATCCAACACTTCAACTTATTTTTACTTGTGGAGACGATAAAACAGTAAAAATGTGGAGATATAATGATTCAAGTTGTTGGAGTGAAGGTACGTTTAGAGGTCATACACATAATGTTACAGCATGCACAGTAATGGGAGACTACCTCATTTCTGTAAGTGAAGATAAATGTGTAAATGTTTTTGATATTAAAACACAAAAGCTAATTAGAAGTTTCAGAACAAATGGTAGGATTTGGTGTATTGAAAAACATCCATTAGAAGATCTTTTTGCTATTGGGTGTGATACTGGACTGAAGGTATTTAAATTAGAAAGTGAACGTCCTGCTTATTTTGTTACTGGTAAATCAGTTTATTATCAAACAGCTTCATCAATTAATAAATTTGACATGTCAACAAATGAAATAAAATTAATGTATTCAATTAACCATATCCAGTCAATAGTTGCTATTCCACAGGCCAAAGAAATGGTTTTAGTTTCTAATGGGGAAAATCATGAAGCAATTTGTGCTGCTTTTCATAGGTCAAATCTCCAAGGAACCTCATTATGTTATATTGGAGGGTCATTCTATCTTTCATATGAGCCACATTCAAATACTGTTCAAAAGATAGATGTTGGTAAATCACAAGTTGTTGGTAAAATTCAATTAGAACGAAGTGGAACAAGAATATGTGCAGTTAATAGACCAAATACTTTTTGTTTATTTGGAGATAACTTTGCACAAATTATAACTGTTGAGGGAAATATTTTATTTAATGTTGATGCAAATGGATTAAAGAGAACAGTTGCAACAAAAGAAACTCTTGTTTTATTTGGAAGTCAAACGATTCTCTTATTAAAGGATTCCAAAGAAGGATATGAAATTGTAACTAGATATACTGAAACAACACATATTAAGTCTGTTGTTATTGCTACTAGAGGAGTAATATTATATACTACAAATGCACATATCAAATATTTATTACCAACTGGAGAAGTTGGAATTGTTCAAGGAACAGGAAATGAAGTGTTATATCTTATTGCAGCAACGGCCAATGCTAAAGGGTTATTAACAATTGATATAAATGGAGACATTACAACAAAGGTTGTTGACCTTGCTGACGTTGATTTTAAAGCAGCAGTACTAAGGGGAGATTTAGCTGCTATTCATAAACATTTAACAAATACTGTATTTATTGGTGATTCAATTATTTCATTTTTAATGAAATATAAATTTGCTGAATTAGCATTGTTGTTTGTAAGAGATGTTCACGCTAAATTTGCTATTGCTTTACAGTGTGGTAATTTTAAGGCAGCACTTGATGCTGCAAAACAATTAAATCTACCACAGTATTGGAGACAATTAGCACAAAAAGCTATTAGTACTGGACATTTTAAAGTAGCTGAATTTTCATTGGTTCAACTTGGTGATTATACTAGAGTATCATACCTCTCTGCCTATTGTGGTAACATACAATCTATGGTCAAATTAAATAAACTTGAAGCTTCTAATTCTCAAAAGTTAATATTATCTCTTCTTTCTAATGACCAAAAAACTATGGTAAAAGAATGTTTTATTGCAAATGGTAAATTAGGTTATATTGCAGCAAAAACTAGAGGATTTGATGAGATTGCAGAAAGGATAAGTGGTGAAGTTGAAATATCTGAAAAGTTAAAAGAATTTGCAACAAAAGAACGAAAACCAATTCCAGGAAGTATAATAAAAATGAATTTAGCATCATTAAAAGAATGGCCTCACATTGGTGTACAAAAAACTATTGAACAAGATTTGATTGAGGCAAAAGAAGTTAACTTAAATGAAGAAAAACCTGTCTTTGATGGTGTTAAAGCGGACCAAATTGTTATGGAGAAAAAAGAAAATAAACCAATAGAATCAAAGAAACAACAAGAAGTAATCACTAATGAGAAGAAAGAGGATAGTGATGATGAGAATTGGGATTTCATTTAATTCATTGATTTTTCAGCTGAACCACAAACTGGACAATTTATGTTCTTACGTTTTGTCTAATTCAATTTTTAATATTTAATGTCAATTAATGAAGAAATTATAAAAAGTATAACAAACGGCTATTACTTTATGCATCAATGTCATTCCATTAAACATTAACATTTTATTTGATAATATCTCTCCTTTTCCTAATAATACTTTAACTGTTTCCATTGCTTCTATTGAACCAATAACCCCACAAATTGTTCCAACAACTCCAACAGTTTTAGCTGTAGCATTTAATGTTGTAGATGGCATAACTGGATATAAACACTTGTAACAAGGTCCATTTTGATAATTTAAAACTGTGACATGTCCTTCCCATCTTACAACAGACCCTGTAACAATAGGAATACCAAGTTTTACTCCAACAGCAGATATGGCATAACGAGCTTGATGATTGTCACTACAATCAACAAGAACATTACATCCTTTAAAAATTTCTATTCCGTTTTGTTCGTCTAAACGAATAATATGTGGTTCAACAACAATAGAAGGGTTTAATAACTTCACACTCTCTGCAGCACTTTCTGCTTTATATTTCCCAATGCGCTGATAATTATGAATAATTTGTCGATTTAAATTGACCTCTTCAACAATATCATTATCAACAATAACTAACTTTCCAATTCCAAAAGCAGCAAGGTATTGAATAACTGGACTCCCAAGACCTCCAGCTCCCAATATTCCAACAGTACTACCAAGTAATTTCTTTTGACCAACTTCCCCAATTTCAGGTAAGATACAATGTCTGACATATTGTTCACACATTCTTCTGTTTTATATTTTTAAGTCTTTGAGGTTTTTTAATGGATTTCTTTTATATTAAAAGTTATTTTTTTTGTATACTTTTATGATTTTGATTTGAGTTGGTTTTTTTAAACAGAAAGAAAAAAATCAATCAATTAGTATGAGTAAATTTATGTGCTTTCATAAAACCATTTGCCCCAGCAGAATAGAAAATATCTCCAGTTTCATTCCAACATACAGCCGTCATTTTTGTACTGAAAGGAATAGTACATAAGGGTGTAATAGATCTAATATCCCAAATTTTAATAGAATTATCATATCCTGCAGACGCTAACAAATAAGCACTTTGAGGATGCCATGCAACACAAGTAACTAAATTTTTATGACTTTTTAATAATTTCATTGTTATTTGAGATTCACGAGGATCAGCAATCCGAATAATAGAATCATTGTGACCTGTTGCAATAAGAGAATTAACAGTAGAATAATCAAGAGCAGTAGCTACTTTTGGTGTTTTATAAGCAGAAGCAAGGGCAGTGTTCTGAATATCCCAAATAGCAATAGTTCCATCAAGAGAAGATGAAAGTACTTGTTTTTCTACTGGCCAAATGCAATGTGTAACAGCTTGAAGATGGCCATCAAGTGATGTAAATTCTGAAATTGTTTTAATATTTAATCTTGAACGTTTTTCTGTAGTTTGAAGAGTTGAACCAGAATTTAAATCCCAAACATTTACTTTTTTATCCCAACCACCACTAACAAGATGAGTACCATTTGGTGAATAACAAAGACTTTCAATTGATCCATTATGACCCGTTAAAATTGAACGATGAATGAATGTATTATTTTCAAATGAGAATGTATGAATATTATTTGATTTTCCACCACAAGCAACTTCAATTTTACCGTTATTATCAAATGAGTCAATTGTTTTTACTGGTCGTTTTGTTATACCATCAGATAATAATGCGTCTGTAGAACAAACAATTCCTGATTCGTTATTAGCAGAAATACTTTGATTAGCAATACCAGCAAATAAGAAAGATGAACAATATGAAAGAGAAGTAACCCAATTCTCTTGTTGATTGTACCACTCTGGTTGAGGTGCAGGAAGAGCAACAGTGTATTCTATATCTACAGTAGATTCAATAGGAATACCTTTTTCCTTAAGGTGTTCTTGAAGAGTTGTACGTAGAAATTCACCACCAACAATAAAATCAAATGGAACAACTTTAGGTAATTGTAATAAATGATTGATCAATCTCGAAAGAGCAAGTCTATTAGAGTCACTAGGTACATTAAACGTAGTTGTAGAGACTTGAAACCCGTCTAATTTAGTACTAAATTTAACGAGAATAGTGGTTTCAGTCATGTTTAGGGTAAATATATTTTAAAAAATTTTTTTAAGTTTTTTGTTTTTTTTTTAAGAAAGAAAAAAAAAAAGAGAATGAAAGTATTTATAGAATTTCTTAAAAATATTTTTTTTGAACAAAAATAATTTATAATAGAACTTCTCCTGAAAAATTAGAAAACTCAATTAATAGATCCTATTACATGTCGGATATTGAAGATGAACATCGTATTAAAATAAGTATGTTTGGATTCCAAGCTAGTGGGAAAACGTGTTTATATAACATTTGGAGAGGATTAAGTATTCCCGATGAATATATTAAAACAACAGAAATGGAATTTGAAAAAATAACAGTTAATGTGGATGGACTAAAAGTTCCAGTTTTATTAAGTGACTGGGGATATGAAGTGATGGTAACATGTTCAGCTTCTCAACAAACAACAATTAATGCATATAGTGAAAATACTGATATACAAATCTTTGTTATTGCATTAAATTCAATTGATTCATATGAGTTTGTTGAAGGAGCACCAAATTCAGTATTTTTCAAGAAAACTAGTGAAGTTCAACAAGTTGCTATTCTTAACAAAATTGATTTAGATGAAGATGGAGATTTACGTTCAAAAACTAGTACATTTTCTGAAGAGAATGAAATTCCAATATTTGAGGTTACTACTACAAATCCAGAACTATGTCGTAAAACATTAGTCGATATTATTAGTTTATATCTTGAAAATAATCCACAATATAAACAATCATTAAAAAAGGGATTTAATGGTAAGAAGTCTATAGAAAAAACTAAGAAGGCATCTATTTCTCTTCGTTCATCTCAGTCTAATAAAAAAGAGAAACAAGGATGTTGTATTTTACTTTAATTATATAAAAGAATTAAATTTGATGATAACACAAATGGTACATTCTTAAATATAGTGTTAATATATTTTTCTGTTACTAATATTCTAAAAATAGGTTAGGAATGGAAAATGATTATGAAAAACTTGTTGAATTAAAATAGTTTTTATACTTTGTTACTTCTCTTTTTTTTTCGCAATTTCTTTCAACTTTCTTTTTTCTTACAATTTCTTGTTATTTTTCTATTATATTTTTTGTTTTAGCTCATATTAATAATGTAATTAATGTACAAAATGAAAATATAACGAAAAGTCATTTAAATAAATACAAAATATTACAATATAAGGAATTTAATGACAAGGTAAGTAGAGATCATTGGAGTTGTAATACCTAATAAGTGGTTTAATCATAAACCGTCAATAAAAAATAAAAGAAATAGAAAATGATATAGATATAATAACAATAATGATATTACAAATTCGACGAATGTAAGATAGTAGGTATTAATTATATAATGATAATGGTTGTAATAGTGTAAACTCATAACCTATCACATCAACAAAAGACTCAGGTAATACAGAGAGTGTTGAAGAAATTAACAATAGTTATAATAATGTAACTTCTTAAAACAATGAAAAGATGATTAAACAAGTAAATGTCATTATTTAGATTATTTTTTCTTCCTTTATTGTAATAGATTACTATTTTATATAAATTAATAGGATAAATCAAGAAAGAATAACCTCAATATCAATAGAAAAAGAAACAATAAGTTCAAGAAGTTAATTATGCAAAAATATTTGAAATTGTTTAATTTTTTTGTTATATTTAATAAAAAACTATAAATAAATAATTTTTTTTGTTTTTTATTTTATAATTAATCTCAAATGAACTAAAAAAAATAGAGTATTAGAATGTCATCTATTCCAATCCATCAAACATTTTACTCTCTTGGAAAACAATACATGGTGCTCAACAATTATTTATCAGCTCGAATTTATTTTTTATTAGCAGCAAGTTATACAAATTGTTTGTTTTAATAACTCTAATAACAAGTAAATAAAATAATGAATAGATAAGAACATTGAGATAATAACAAGTTTATGTGATTCGATGTTAAAACTTAATCAGAAAAGTCAATCCCAATTATTAATTCTTAAATTATTTGGTGTTTCTCATTTAAAATATTTAAACACACCTTTTCCTTCATTAACATCATATCAATTATTTATTATTACTAAATGTTTTGAAGATGATTTAGACTCATTAGAAATTATTTCTCAAATGACAAGTACTCCAAGTCCATTAAATTTATTACAACCTACTGAAATTATGCAAACTGCAAACATTTCATTTAGAGTTATTTATTGTCAGAATAATACATCACTAATAACAAATTATTTAAATAATGCAATTGAAGATTCATTAAATATTGGATTAATACATATTTTTTTTAAACAAAAATTAGAAATTTCATTAGTCCCTCAATCATTAAAGAAAATGATCAACAGTTGTTCTCTTCCAGAAATACGTGAGTTATATGAATTATTATTTTCATTATTAACTCGTAATGATGTTGATTTCATTCAAAGGATTTTATTAATGAAACAAACTAATGCATTACTTGAAAATTCTCAATTAGTTCAATTAATGGAAACATTGTTTTCTTTTAATAAAAGAAAATATGAAGATGCTTTAGGACATTTAGAAAATTGTTGGTGTTTTAATACTGAAGTCATACATGCGTCAATTGATTTTCATCTTAATAACACAATCAATTATAATTTTGAAAGTCTTAATGAAGATAATGAATTAACAAAATATAAAATGGGACTTAGAATGATTCAATTAAAAAAATTAGATAAAGCCATTGAAATATTAAAAGATAGCAAAGAGGTTGAAAGTATTATTGCGTGTGGCTATGTTTACAGTTTACAAAAAGAATATCAAAACTCTATTAAATATTTAAATCAAGCATCAGCGTTTGTTCCATTTTGTTTCGAATTGAAATTAGTTATTATTCAACAATTAATTTGTTGTAATAATCTTTCTATAGCTGAAGAAGAATTAAATAAATTTATCGGTATTGTTTCAACTTGGGAACTGTTTTGCACAATTGGTCAATTAAGATTTACCCAACACCGTTATGAAGATGCTTTAAAAGCCTACAACACATCTTTAGAAAAACTTGGTAATGATCCTTCTAATTATTTAACTAAAATTATCTATGGAAATATTGCACAGTGTTGGAGAAAGATGAATAATTTTGATGCTGCTATTGAAGCATTTAATAAAAGTCTTGGGTTTAATGATTTTGTTGCACTATCTGGAATAGGGTGGTGTTTCTACATGAGTAAAAATTATGTTGAATCACTAAAGTATTTCCAAAGAGCATTAAGTTTTAAAGAAGACCCTTTATGTAGGAAATTTATTGAAATGATCTCAAATCAGTGATTTGTATTGAATCTATTTTGTTTATAGAATCTCTAATAATAACATAGAATGTTTTTTTATTTAATAATAACAATTTCATCAATAAATAATATTTTTTAAAATATCTTAATAGTATTTATAATTTTTTCTTGATTGATCATTTTGATAAAACATTATTTTTAATTAATATAGATGAATAACTAATGACAAATTCTCTTTTGTATTTAGATTTTAATACACCTCTAAATTTTAGTAAAAGAAGAACTTAAAAGTAATTCTTATAATTGATTTGGATGTTCATTAATAAATTTATCAAACTAAAGAATTATTATCATAATTTCTTATTATTAATTAAATATTCTTTATCAATAGAATTATGAAAATAAAATTATTTGTTTTTAATAACTTTTTATTTTATTTGTAATAAATAACAAAAAAATAGTAAATAAACCACTAGTTATTATAATTTACTTAAAATCTCTTTAGCTTCCTCACTGCCTAATTCTGCTGCTTGTTCAAACCAAACCATTGCCATTTCATATCCTTCTTCATCATTTTTTTCAAGTAATAATTTACCTAAACGAATCATTCCATTTTTGTCACCATTTTCAGCTGCTTTATTCAAGCAATCAAATACTTTTTGTTGTTGGTTTAATTCCTGATAACAATCACTAACTTCAACGTAATCATTAAATCCTTTTGTTAAAGCATTTTCATACCAAACAGCAGATTTTAATAAGTCTTTTTTAACTCCAGTACCATTCTTAAATGCACGGGCAATCATTAAACAGGCATTTAATCCAATATTTTTATATCCAATAATATCTTCAGTATTATTTTTAAACTCTGATAAAAGTTCTTCATTTCCAGTGAACAAAGTTTGTATAGCTACATAATATTTACACTCAATGTCTTCCATATGTTCACGTAAAAATTGAATACTCTTTGAATTATAATTTGCCCGACTAATAGCCAGAATTCCATTTAATTTTTTTAATGTATCATCAAACTCATATTCAATTAAATCAAAGACATTTTTTGCATTCTTAAATTCTTTCTTATCAATATAGTATTTAATCATATAAATGGATGCATCTCTATTCCCTAATGACATACATTTTTTCATAAATTCTATTGCTTTATCATTACTCGTTCCTTTTTGTAATAGTTCGATAGCAGCAAGATATAAAGCATCTGGGTAATTAGCTTCTGCTGCACCCATAAGGTATTGAACATCTTTTGTAATTTTATATAAAATAAACATAGCTTCAGGAAGTGGTAGTGCTTGTTGAATTAATTTGAGACAATCATTATTAACATAAAGAATATCTTTCTTTAAATCATCACTTGAAATCATAGTTTTTACAAGAACTAAAGAGGCATATGGATTACCATCAGACGCTTTTGATTTATAAAAAGAGAAGAGCTTATCATCGAGTTTCAACATTCACTTGAATTTCTCAGTTCTTTTTTGAGGTTTGAAGGAACAAATTATTAAATAACTTCAATTTAAACTTCACAAAAAAGAAAGAGAAGAGAACAAAAACAAATGAATGACAAATTTCAGACTTATTTATTACTCATCTTCTCTTTAACAGTACAAATAATATGATAACAATAATACAAATAATAAATAAAATAATCAAAGCAGCCATTGTCATAAGCACTGATATTACAATACAGAATTCGTTTGAGTGTTGTTCTTTAGAGTTAAAAGAATCACGCCAATGTGCAATTAACGGAAATGTTTCATTAACATAATCATCACTTGTATCATCTACACTAACAGAACCTAATTGTTTGGATGGGTCTTGATTAACAATAGTAGGTGGTGAAATAGTTGGACTAATTGAATTGACTTGTGAATTTATAAGAGGATCTGTCATAAGAAACTGAACAAAATAGTTTTTTCGATAAGAACTCAAAAGAGTTCCACCAGGGCTGAAAAATTTTTCTTTTTCCATTATTGGTTTTTCTTTTTCTTCCTTTTTTAAACTTCAAATCATTATCCAATTATTATCCTTCTTATGAGTAAGACTAATTCATCTAATTTATCTACTCCCCAACCGACACAAAGTATTAAAAATAAACACCCAATATTTAAAGAATCTACTTCTCCAAGATTTCAAATGATGTCAAGTTCACCTTTATTTCAGAATTTAGAGTTTGTTTTAAACAATTTGTATTGCAAAAGTCATTAATTGACTCTATAGATACAATCATATGACTAAAGACTTACAAGAAAAATATGGAACTGGTATTAAATTTAAAAACAATCAAAGTGATAACGAAATAGGAATTAGTGAAGCCCTTAATATTATGGTTACTATGATTGTTTGTGGTTGTGCGCTTGGATTTATTGGATACGGATATGGTGGTCCTGTCTATGCTGGACTTGGAGGGGCAATTGGAATATTTATTGGTATGATTGTAGATACATTGTTAGTTATTATTTATTCAAATAAATTAGGTAAACATAAATCTCATTCTAAGTATCAACAAACACAAGTCACAGAAAGAAAATCTAATGAACATAAAAAAACTGAATAAAATGATTTATGGGAAATATCTTTTGTTTATCTTTGTTTATATAAAACTATTGAGTTAAATTATAAAGTATTTTTAAAAGTCTTGCATATAATAATTATTCAATTCAAGTAATTTTGAAATTGCTAATAAATTAATATTTTATATAAACATTAGAATAAATAAAAATATATGTTAATAATTAAAGTAATATAAATATTAAACAAACTTGTTGTAATTGTTTTGCTTGTTCTGTTTTTTGACAACTAATAAATGATTTTAATGTAATTTTTAATGCAATTTTAACGTCTTCTGTTGTTACAACTCCTCGTAAATGAATCTTGGCATGTGCTTCTGAAAGACGATTAATTGCTTCAATTTGACGAGCAGTAACTTGTCCGGTGTGATACTTATCACAGCACCTTCTCATTTCTATATAAACTTGTTGAATCATTTGTGATCCAACAGTCCCACTCCATTTAGGATGACAATTCTGACGAGCATAAGCAATATATTTCTTCAACAAAACGTGTGAAATGATATTTGTTTTATTAACGATTGGTGCAATAGATTCTCTTTTTTGAGAAGCATCAGGATGATTCATTGAATGGGACTCAACTACAAATTGTGCTAATTTATAATCTTTTTCATAATCTACAACATCTCTAACAATCATGATAAGATCAAATCGAGAAATAATAGGTTCTGTTAGATTTACGTTTTGGTTTAAATTCTTGTTTGGATTATATTTTCCTGTTTTAGGATTTGCTGCCGCAATAACAGAACAACGTGCTTTTAAACTAGTAACAATACCGGCTTTAGAAATAGAAATTGATTGTTGTTCCATTGCTTCATGAATAGATGTTCTATCCTGGTCATCCATTTTATCGAATTCATCAATTAAACACACCCCTTCATCAGCAAGAACTAATGCACCTCCTTCCAATGCCCATTCTCCATTCATTGAATCTTTTTTTACAGCTGCAGTTAAACCAACAGCAGTACTTCCTCTTCCTGTAGTAAAAACAGCTCTTGGTGCTAATTTTTGTGAATATTTTAATAACTGTGATTTAGCAGTTCCTGGGTCACCAAGTAAAAGTACATTAATGTCACCTCTTGTTCTATGATTTCCTTTATCAACTAAAACCCTTTGTTCACCCCCAAAAAGTGCAAGTGCAATCGCTGCTTTTGAAGCGTCATGTCCATATATTGCTGGTGCAATTGAATTAATAATGATTTGAAAGATTTGTGGGTTGTTAGCTAATCTTCTAATTTCTTGTTCTTCTTCATGAGTTATTGTAGTTGAAATGACATCACCACTTCTTTTTTCTATAGTATTTGCTTCAATAACTGTACAAAATACTGGAAATCCAAAATTACGGTTAAGTCCTGTTTCATAGTTATGGACGTACATACCAGTTATATCAATTTCTTCTCCTGGTTGTGCCTTATCAATAAGATCACCTAATAAAATAACATCCTTTGTACGAGGGACATTTCCAGCAGAAACGCTATTAGGGGGTTCTTGTATTGTAATCTTTTGGTAATTTTGATAAATTGTATTTTGTACATCAATACTAAAAGGACCCTTTGATTGACAAACAGTACATACTTGAAGTTGTGGAACTTTATTCATTTCTTTATTAATAAAATATGGCCCTAATCGTGCTTGACATACTGAACAAATATATTTCACTGCTTTTAATTGAGGAAAAATTGCAGTGACCCGAGTTACTATTCCAACAACACGAATTAAAGTATTGATATGACAATGCCTTAAGTCCCTAATTGGTATTCTTGTAGTATAGTCAATAATACGAACATTAATTTGTTTTCTAATATCTTTATAATCTGGATATAATAGAAGTGTAGCTTGTGTTGCAGCTTCTGAAAAAACTGGTATTACACTTGATGGACATAGTACAATCCATTGAGCTAATAATTTTGATGATTTTGCTAAATGTAGAAAACTGACATCCAAACTTCCTGAATTTCTACTTACCATTTTTCTAATTGATAAGATATAAACAACATTCTTTGATGTCTCTGTTTCTGTGTAATATAATAAAAAATTTTTTAATGTTTCTACTAATAAGTCATGAACATCTTCTTTTAAAATTGCATCTTTAATACGTTCTTTAGTATACATTTGTAATTTACTTTCGGCTTCACTCATCATCATTTGTAATTGTTCAATTGGCATTTTTTCTATTTCTCGTTGTTTAAATCGTTCTTTTACTTCTTCTTCATTTAATCCAAATTGTGGAATGACAATATCAGTATCTTGTTTCATTGTTAATTTTTCAATTTCACTCTTTCTTCTATGTTGTTGTTCAATAAGTAAATTAAATTCTTCACCACTTGTATCTTCTTCATCAATAACTTTCCTCATTAATGCATTTCTTTTATCAATTTCTTCATCTGCTTTTCTTCGAGCTTCAAACTCATCAACACCTTCATTGTGTTCAATTTCATCGTTAATCAAATTAGGGTCATCATATTCACTCTCTTCACTTCTTTCATAATCTTCGTCCATTAATTTAGGATTGAACAAATCTTCTCCTTCATCATCTGATGATTCTGTTTCATTAAGTTCATCCACTCCTTTTGCTATGCCAATTTCTTTTTCATACTCTTGATCTTCTAATTCATCTTCCTCTCTACCGTCATTAAGTTTCACACCTAAGACATCTTCCTGATATTCTTCTATTTCATTGTTTTGATGTGTTTTATTAATGTCATCACCTTCTTGTAATATTTGGTCGATCATATTGTCATTTAACTCTTCTTCACTCTTTGATTCTTTTTGTGTTGTTAGATGGTCTTTATGAGGATCAGCTGAATCTGTCATTCCTCAGTATATTCACATTAATAAGTTCTTTTTCATTGAATTAAAAACATATTCTCCTTTTCAGTATTTTTGTTATAAAAATATATATATTTGTTATTACAAATTAAAAAAAAATTTTGAAAGAAAAAACGATAAAGATGAATTCTTAAAATAAAAATAAAAGAATTCAATAGAAGTCGTAGAAACATCTTTTTTAAAGAAAAAATAAAAAAGAAAAGAAAAAACTACTTGTGAAAAATTACTATCTGAACTAAAAAATTAAAAAAGTTTCAAGATGACCCAAGACGCGGTCAAACTATGTATTATTGGTGATTCTGGTGTTGGAAAAACTTGTATCTCAAGTAGGCTTGTTGATGGAACATTTAAATCAGACGAAAAATCAACTATTGGTGCTTCTTTTGTTACTACAAATATTGAAAATAGTAAAATAGTTATTTGGGATACTGCTGGTCAAGAGAAATATAGGTCTATGGTTGGTATGTATTATCGTGGTGCTTCTGGTGCAATTATTGTTTATGACATTACAAGTAGAGCAACATTTGTTGATTTAGATGCTTGGCATGCTGATTTAATGAAGACTGCAACTGATGATATTGTTCTTTGTATTGTTGGTAATAAATCTGATTTAGAAGCATCAAGGCAAGTTAGTACTGATGAAGGAAAAGAGTTTGCCTCAAAGAAAAATGCTATGTTTTATGAAGTTTCAGCAATGAATGGAAAAAGTTTGTCTTTTTCATTTGTTTTTTTAAGTGTTTTCATTAAAAAATATGACACCTTCATATTATTCACTCTGTAGATGTTACTGAACTCTTTACTGAAATTACAAGAAAAATTAAATCTTCACAACCACAAAAACCACAAGGAGGACTTTCTTCTTCTGATAATGTAAATGTTGCTACAGCATCTACACAACCAACAAAAAAGAAAGGATTCTGTTAAAACTTTAATTTTTTTTTCTTTTCTTTTTTTACTCTCTATGTTTTATGTTTTTTTTATTGTTGCAAGAATTAATTATTCTATTGTTTGGTTTCTATTATAATTGGAGATTCTATGAGAAATGGAAATCTATTTTCCTTTTTTTTTTAAAGTTATTTTCTTTATATAAACATTACAAATGATAATTAATTGACAATAAATTTATTTAACTTTTTGCTTCAATAAGGTTGAATGGACTAAAAAAATATTGTCCATCATCACTGATAAATTTTAGTATTTCTTGATATTTAGTTTAATTGACTAAAATTCATAAAAAAGAGTGATAAAATAAATACTACAATAATTTTTTATTAACTTAATCTGAAAAAGAATTAACTTGTTAAAAACTTAACTGGTCTTAACTTAACAGAAAGTACTTTTCATTTATTTAAGTTTTTAAGATAATAAAATAACCAAAAAAGTATCAAATTCTACAAAAATCTATGTTTTTATGTGAAGAATAAAAACTAACATAATACTATCAATAATCACTAAATAAACTATTGATTAAATCAATTCATTATTTACCTTTTATATAATTATGATAAAAAATATTTTTAAACTGTAAATTTTAATAAAACAGTCAATTTCTCAAGTTTTATTGAAGTATTTTATTTTTAAACTTAAAGATATTTCTTTCAAATTATGGAAAAAGATTTTTTAATATTTCTCAAAAAGAAAAATGAAAACTTACCAATCTTAACAAACGCATAAGTCTATGGAGGTTAGAACTCTTAAAATTACACCTTTATTAGAATGAATTTTAATGTGGGTAGTATGAAAACAAGAATAAATAAATAAATAAATTGAGGATGTTTGTTATTGAATTTTCATAAACTTTTATTAAAACTCAAAGTTATCATTACTTAATAATAGGTATTTAAAAGAATTTAATAATTTTTCATAAGTAAAAAATATAAAGACAGATATAAGTAAATTCAAAACTTTATTAATAAAATTAATCATAAAAAGAAGTGAGTAGTAATACTAAACAAAACTGTTTTTTAATAAGTAATATTTCCATCTCTTAAAACTAATTCTAGATATTATTGTTATCATTATTTGATTCTACTCTTTATATTTCATTTAACTTTTACAAATCACTTTCGTTAGAAGTTTTAGTTGAACTGTCATTATTGCTATCACTTGTTAGTGAATTATCCCGACTCTTTTGTCTTTCTTTATTTATATCTAGATTTTGAGCTTCATTTTCTTTTTCTTCTTGTCTTTGTTCATCACTGTCATAAAAAGTTGGACTACTAAGTCCTCTATTTTCAACTTCAAACTCTTGGTTCGAAGTGAGTCGATTTTCATATTCATCATTTTGACTTGAAGTATATCCTTTTTCATCCTCATCACTAGGGCTTGAAATAAGTTGACTTTCACTATCCTGTTCTTGGCTTGAAGTATATTCTATTTCATTTTCTTTACCTGAAACAGATTTTTGTTCATCTTCTTGATTAATGATCTCATCTTTTTTATCTTTTTTCATTGTAATTACTTCTTCACTCGATGACTCTTTCCAGACATTATCGTCATACCCATAATATTCTAATATTCTTATTGTCTTATTTTCTTTTTCTCCTACTTTTATTCCTTTTGTATCAAGAATAAACTCATTCTTGAATCTAACAGTATCTCCTTTTTTTAATGGAAGTGTTCTTGAAGGTTTCTCTTGTTGAATGCTAGCCTGTACTAATTCAGGAGGTAATCTAAAAGGGATGACTTCTTCACTTTTTTCCTCTTCTTCCTTTTGTTCTTTGATTCTTTGATACTTTTCTTTAATCTTTTGCTTTTTCTTTCGTTCTTCTTCTATCTCCTGGTCATTTTTTCTAGTAATTATTTCCTCACTATCAGAGTTATCCAGTTCATCTCTCCATTCATAATAAACTCTCTGCTCATTGATTTCATCCTCATTACTTCGTTTTCTTTTTCTACCGCCACTAACCTCACGTTTGAATGATTTACTCATTTTACCTTCTTAGTTTTGACACATAAAACCAAAACCCCAATCAAATTAAGAAACCTATTCACCATTTTAGTTCAATTTAAAACAAAATTAATTTTTAGATAATATGTGTGGGTTGAAACTTCCCATAACTCTTCTCCATATTTTCCTGTTGTTTCATCTAATTCAACTTCTACATTTGGTATTTTAAATGCAATAGATTGATAAGGCTCTGCTGCTATTATCAGATATTGATAATTATTATCTGGTGGTTCAACGTGTTGTTCAAAAGCTCCCATAATTTTGAATAAAGGAACAACACCATTAGCTATGTCTGGGAAATTGACAGTAATTGCAAGTGATTTTTGATGAGTCCCTGAGTCAATCTGTTTAGTAATAGAAAACCCAGGAGTTCCAATTTTTTCAAAATATCTAACTGGTACCTTAGGTGTAGCAGTGTTATTTTCTTGAACATCATGCATTTTCATTTCTTTTAATTCTCTTGCACGAAGATTTTGTTGGTGTCGTTTTCCTTGGGTATGTGCTAAATAATTTGCTTCTGTAAGATGTGTTGTTAAACATAATTTACATTGATATGTACCAACATGCGTTTTATAGAAATATGGATCTTTACTTAAATCAATTCTTTCAAGAGCAAGTTGTTTTAACCTTTCTTTTCTTGCAGCAGCAGTTTCAGCAAGTGTTGCTAACCCACCACTTCCAGGTTTACTTCCATGTTCTCTTCCAAACATAATAACAAATATTCATTCTATTTTTTTTATTTTTTTTTTTTTATAGTTCTATTAAATCATTTTATCTTATTCATGTCAGAATCTTATCTCATTCATCGAAATATATCAACTTATGGTATCTTATTTATCCATTTTATTCTTTTACTCATTCAGACATATAACTAAACTTTATAGATGATATTTATGAAATTGAAACCTTTCAAAAAAAACAAGAAAAATTAGATAATATTCTTATAGTTTGGTAATTATTATTTTATTAGTTGTTATCTTATAATTTGACTTAATTATACAGAAAGTATTAACCATTCTTGGAGCAGTTATTTTAGTATTTAAAGTAATAGATATAATCGTTACATTATTTCCACTCCCAATTTCAAAACAAGCAAGAACAATAAATAATTGTCTTTCAATTATTTTTATAATTCCATCATTTTATCTTTGGCCTCATAAAGAAAGGTATTGCTTAGAACAATACTGTAAACCAAAATATATATTAGTCCCACTTATCTTAATGTTTGGTCTTTGTTTTTTATATGTCTCAATATTAACATCAATCTATTTGTATGGAATAAATATCATTTATGAAATAATTGTAGCGTATTGTATCGATGACATCAATAACTCTTATAAACACGTAAAACAATTTCTTGACAATTCAGTTTATCAAAACTAGAAGAAATAGTTTCAATAAAACAATCTTGGAAAAACAACAACAAAAAGACATAAACAATAAATTCTGAGATTCATGGATTAATTTTTAGATTTTGTGATATCTCTTTTCACCTTTTTTCATTTAATGTGTTTTTGTGATTAGATAGAAAGTTCTACAAAGTAGTTAAGTTGATTTCTTTTAATAATAAGATCTCTAAACAGTCGGGGAAAATAATAAAAAATGAAAAAAAAAAAAAGAAATATATCGTTGTTTCTATTTTTTAAAAGAAGAAGATTGAAGATGTTTGTGGATCTCAAATTTCAATGAGTGATCATCCAAACTTTGCAAAGCTCAAAAAAACTCAAGTAGGTCAGTTAAAACCATCAGTAAAAGAGGGGTATCTTGTTAAAAAAGGTGCAGATTTTCATACCTGGAAAAAAAGATGGTTTGTTATGAAAGATCAATACATTTGGTATTTCCCTAAAAACACTGGAAGTGCTCAACCAAAAGGTGTTATTGAGTTAGATGGTAATTCTTCTGCTGTTCTTGTTCTTGATCAAAAAAAACCAACGATTGTTATTAAATCAGTTCATAGAACTCAAGAAATTAATGCCGATACTGTTGAAGATGCTAAATCATGGGTTGATGCTATTAACAATCATGTTAAAACACTCGGACCACAAACTACACCACAAAGTAGTTCTCAACCTCAAACACAAATTCAACAACCAGTAAACAGTGCACCAGTTCAAATGTCAACAGAATCAGAAAGTGCATCAGTTCCATTACCATGGGCTCAAGTTCAACAAAGAATTCAAGCTGAAGAAGGACATTGGGATCCAGCTAAAATTAAAGAATTTATGGTCACATTAGGTAAAGTTACTTGCGACCAATATTTATATGCAATTATGAATATGGTTCTTTCAAATTGGCAAGACGATGCTATTGCCGCATTTTGGTGGGATGATTTTTGTGATGGGGATTTAGAAGATCTTGAAACAGTTGTTGCAGGACTTCAAGGAGATTCAACAGTTGCAGTTGGAAGTGATGGTAAAAATCTTCCACCAAATGAAACAGTTTTTGTTTTAGGAAGAGATGAAAATGGTGCAAAACGACTTGCCAATATTTATCAATGGGTTGTTAAACGTGAGGAATTCAATTGGAGTGAAGTTACAAGATGTGTGTTAAGTGCAATTGGTAATTGGGGATTAAAAACAAGTGAGCCATTCTTTGAAGTATTTGTTAATGAAATAGTTAAAAACTGGAGTGCTTCTGAAATAGCTGCATTTGTTAGTTATATTGCTACATACGCAAAGAAAAATGAAGATGTAGCTTGGGAAAATTGGCCACCACACGTTGTTACTTTCTTTAAAAAGTTTGTAATTTTAATGAGTAAATTTTAAATAAAGTAAAAAGAAAACTAACACAATATAGAATGTCTGCTGATTGGGATGCTGAAAAGAAAAAATCATTTTTGAACATTGTTACTGTAATGTGGGATTGGCCAAAAGAGAGTATTCAAAGGCTTAATAATGTTTTGCATGATACAGAATAAAACAGTGCAGTTCTTTAATTTTTAAAGAATTTGTTTTTTTGTTTTCTTTCTTCATTAATTTTTTTGAAGAAACTTAAAAAAAGGAATTTGATATGACTTACAGTAGATGTGGTATTGTTGCTCTAACTGAAAGAAAATCTAGATTTCTTGAAATACAAACTGACCGTACTTCATATCTTCTTGGAGATGTTGTACTTGTTACTATTAATGCTAAAATGGATCATATGCCAAAATATGAAAGTGTTGTACTCTTAGTTTCTTGTGTTGGAACAATTAGTAGAACATTTACTGATGCTAAAATGCCTCCAAACCCAAAAGTATTATCAAAAACATATTTTGAAATGAAAAATGAATTTATGAATCAAAATTTCCCATTGTCATATAGTTTTTCATTGCCTGGAACATCTCCTTTTACTGGTGAAGAAAGTTCATTTGTATTAACAAATCCTATCATTTCTCAAATCTTTAAGATTAGTGCAATGCATTCTTATCGGTTTGTTTTGATAATTAATTCTTCAATCATTTCTATACAAAAATACAAAATAATAAATTTAGTATTGATTTATTTGTTAAACAGGATGGAAAAATCTATTTGGCTGAACAGAAAGATATTGTTGTCAGAAGAACTTTCCAACAAATACAACCTTCTCCTTCTTGGAACTTTGAAATAGATAATTTTAAAATTAAAATTGTGTTAGATAAACCTTCTTACTATCCTCAAGAAAATGGATTTTTATTGTTTGAAGTTAATAGTAAAGTTCAACGTTCAACCTCAATTCCTAAAGTAAGTTTCAATCAAACACTAATTTTTAATTTTGATGACCAACAAATTGTTGTCAAAAAACAAATTATTCCTCAAATGTCATTACCAGCATTTCAACCATATTATTATGGTAAACGTCCTCTTCTTTTTAAAATCCCTGAAGGTCTTCCTCCTTCACATTCAACACCATTGTTTAAAGTAGAATATTCATTCGATATTAGTACTGACCTTTTTTATGAAGGAGGAGCTCAAAACCAATTAAAATTAGTATTAAAATCTACAATATTAGCACCACCTAATTTATGTGGTGCTTGTGTATTTATGCCGCTCATTACTAATGACTTTAACCCTCCTAGTGAAAGTATTTTAAGACCTTTTTGGCAAGAAGACAAATCAACTGATACATGTGGGATATGTGGAGCAAGTTTTGGTCTTATTACTCGTCGCCATCATTGTAGACGTTGTGGAAAAGTATTTTGTGGAAGTTGTTGTGTTGATAGTGTATTGATGAAAGACCTTGGTTTTGATAGACCAGAACGTGTTTGTAAAAGTTGTTTCAAGTTAATTCAGTCAAATTAACATTTATATTTGTTATATATATCATTAATCTTCATATAATATTTTTTATTGGTATTATTGGAACAAGAATGAATGGACTGTAGACTAAAAATAGTGTTTCTTTTTTGGGTTGTATTTTTAGGAAAAATTTCACGCAATTACAATACAAATAAAAAGAGAGTGAGACAAACAAATAGAAAGGAAAGTGTTATAGGAAAAACTTAATGAAAAAAAATTAAAAAAGCCAAAAATACAGTCAAAAAAAATAGAAAAGAATAAAAAACAAAAAGAGACATTGAAAGTCTATTTTTTCCCCAACTAGGAATTATTTAAGGGTTGTAAGGTCTGAAATTTTTAATTAAATAAGGTATGGGTTGCTTCGGATCAAAACCAAAGAAAGAAAGTAATGAAAACAATAAACCAAAGGTAGAGAAGAAAACTACTACTGAAATGAAACAAGCTGACAATAAACCAAAAGACCAAAAAGTAGATACTAAAACAACAAATAATAATAAACCAGCAGAAGGAACCCATGTCCCTAAACCAAAGGGAGATGCACCAGTTATTGAAGATAGACCAAATGGAAAGAAAGAAGTTGTATCAGGTGATAAGAGTATTCTTCTTGATGAAATCTATAAAAAACATTACGCTGGTGTTGACAAAGCTCATGACGAAGTTGAAGAAGCAAAACAAGCATGGTTGGCTGCTAAAGAAAAGAAAGATCCAAACACTCAAAAATTAAATCAAGTTTTCCAAGACAAAAAGGCTAACTTTGAAAAAGTTAAAGAACAAGCTCATCGTGCTGCTTTTAAAGAAGTTCAAATTTATATGGTTGATGAAGATGCTATTGATTTGCATGGACTTCAAATTGAAGGAGCAATTATGATGATGAAAGAAGAAGTTGCAGCTAGAAGAAAAGCTGGAAAGAAAATATTAAAAATTCAATGTGGAATGGGACATCACAATACTGTTGGATATTCTAAGATTAAAGAGGAAGTTGTAAAACAACTTAAGGAAATGGGTGAAAAGTTTACTGAAGATAAAGATCACGGATTCGTTAATGTTGAACTTTAATTGTAGAAGTGGTAATTTTATTCATTTATAAAATTTATAGTATATTATTTTTAGATATATAAAACTGATAATAAAAAAAGAATATTAGAAAAATAAAACTTTTATTTTTCTATTTTAACTCTCTATACTTATTTTCATACATTTGGATTTTTATTTTTTTTCTTTTGAAATGTTTTGTATCACAACTTTTAATAATCAAAAATAACAAAAATTTGGTTACGCAAAAGAAAATTGTTTCAAAGAAATATGAATCACAAAAAAAAATTAAAACAAATTCACTTAGAAAAGATAACACTTTGATTTTTTTGGCTCTTTTTTATTTTCTAATGGAACAGTATCATTATCATCTACTGCACATGTCTCTGCAACTTCAAGGGCCATACACTTTAATGCTTCTTTACACCCATCACCAGTTTTTGCTGAACAAATAAAATAACTCTTATATGACTTATCATTCACGAATTCATCTGCTTCTTCTTTAGGAGTTTTAGAATCTCCTAAATCACTCTTATTTCCAATAAGAACAACAACACATTTTGGAGAAGCGTAATAAGTAATATCCCTTGCCCAATTTGTTAAATTTTTAAATGAAGTTTCATCAGTAAGGTCAAATACTAAAAAGATACCACACGACTTTCTATAAAATGAAGAGGTTAATATTCTAAACCTTTCTTGACCAGCAGTATCATAAATCTCTAATTTAATATTTTTCATTTTCGTTGATTCAGGAATATCAACATCAATTACTTTAAAGTTTGTAGAAGTAGAAGGTTCTTGGTCATCAAATTTGTCTTCAGTGAAACGGGTTAATAAACAAGTTTTACCGACACCAGCTTCACCAATCACAAGTATTTTAAAGTTGGTAGGAGAAGAATTTGTGCTGGAAAGTAAATAAAAGAGTTATTATTAAATATCTTTAAAAAAAAAAGAAAACAACATACTCGTATTGCATCAAACTGAGAGAACTTAGATTTCTCTTTTTTCCTTATCTTTTTAGATTTTTCTTCTTGTTAATCAGTTAAGATTGTTAGATTTTTTTCTCTTTTAATACTTATTTTATTCTTACAATAATTGGATTAATTATGAAACGGGCTTTTCAGCTTGTATTATGAAAAGAAGAATCTTACAATTATTTAGATTATCTTCATCAAAATGTCCGATAGCAAAGAAAATATTATTACGAACGCTTTGCCTAACGAAGTATCTGAAAAACTACCCAAATTACCTATCTCACAACAGAAAGAAAGAATTAAAAATGCTAAGAAACAAACAAAAAACTCAAAAAAGAAAGTAAAAGAAGTAAAGAAACAACAAAAACAAGAAATCAAGAAGGCTAAAAAAGATATGAAAGAAACCAAAAAAGTAGAGAAAGAGACAAAGAAATTAGCCAAAAAAGAGTTAAAAGATGAAAAAAAAATGACTAAAGGATTAGTTAAAGCTGACAAAAAAGAAGCTAAAATTTCTTCTAAAGCTATTAAAGATGTTAAACAAAATGCAAAAAAAGCCGATCTCAATTGAATTATTCTTTTTCAAATCTCATTTTCTTTATTTTTTGAAGAAGAAACAGTTAACGTTTTACCAAAAAGTTCAGCTTTATTCATATTTAATATTGCTTGATTAGCATCATCCTCATCTTCAAAAACAACAAATCCATATCCTTTATTTAATTTTCCACCATCTTTTGGGAGTTGTATATCAGTAATTTCTCCAAATGGTAAAAAAACTTCATATAATAATTGTTCATCAACAAAATCACCCAACCCACTGACATATATTCTTTTTTGTGTTTGCATTTGAAATATCTCAGTTTAAGTTGAGATAAATGAAAGAAAAAATTGGAATATAAAAAGAGTTAAATAAAATTATTATTTAATCCATTTCTTGTTTTCTCTTCTCTAACAATCCTTTTCCTATTGTTAAATTGTTCACAAACAATAGGAAATATTTTTTAATTCTTGAAATTTCCTCAATACGTTCTGCTTCTGGATCTCCAAGGATAAATAAGTCAACAGTTCTTTTTACTGACCTTTCAACTTTCGTTAGCGTCTCATATAATTCTAGATATTTTTTTATAGTAGTAGAAACAGCTTCATCTATATCATCTATTAAAAATGTTTTTGCAACATCACATAGTTTCCATTTATCATCACACAAAATATGATATAATACTTTCTTAATTTCTTCTTGTATTTGGAAATCAAAGGACTCATTATTTTTTTGAGATTCAAGAATATGAGTATTAAATTCTTCTAAATTACCAATAACTCTTGTTATATAATCTATTGCTTTTTCTATTGGTGTTAATGTTATCATTTTTCTTTTTGTAACAGCAACTCTTCTTTGAGACGATGGTAACTTTGATTTAGTGTTGAGAATTAATCGTGTCATACCGATTTGTAATAGTGGAGTGTTTTCTAATAAAACTCCACTAACATCTCCAATATGAGACAATGTTGAAAGAGAAGAAGATCCATCTAGTTTATTTTCTCTTTGATTAGAATACAATACATCACACTCATAAACAAATTCACCAACAGGAGTGAAACGAACAGGTTGTTCTCTAATTACTTTATTATTAGAATATATATATACTTGTTGAATTACTATTTTCTCATTTGTTTCATCATTTGATGATTCTACAATTTTTGCTCTTTGTGCAATTGGTGTTTTCTTAATGTCTGTAACAAATTCATCATAATTAAGTAATGAAGAATAAATATAATGACATGGCCTATTGTCTTCTTTCATTCCAGAACTTAATGCAAAATGGACATGATAAAAATTTAATGGAGGTCCCGATTTAGACATATTTTCACATACTTTTGTCAATGTTTCATGTACTTTAGCAAGTTCAACAATATTTGATGAACAATCATAATATGGTAGTAAGAAACAACACATCTGATGGGCAAACCATTGTTCACTTAATTCAAAATCTTCTACTGCTAACCATGCATGTTTAATCATTGACTCAAAGGAACAACTTGAATAACTTGCTACTAAAGAAATATCTGCACTTACAAGGACATCAGCAAATAAGTCCTCAATAACTGATATATCAAATAAATCTAAGTTTTCTGCTTGTTGTGAATCTCTAAGAATACAATAAATATAATTCATACACATAACTTCACATATTCCAGCAACAACATGTCTGTTATACTTTCTATTAATTTCTGCAGACTGTTCAACCCACGTCAAGAATAGCATTGGAGCATTAACATATTGTTTAGCATCAATAGCTAATAATTCAAGTAACTCATCAATATCTTTAATTTCTTCTTTACCACTTTTTTTGTCATACCTCCATAATTCTTCTTGTTTATTAAGAATGTCTTGAGCTATTTTAATTGTATTTGAAAATTCTTTATCGAATTTACGTGTTAAATATAAACTGTTATCAATAATTGATGTAGTTCTAAAACAACTTGAGTTATCAAGGAATAAAGAATATAAGTCATTAATCATTTTATCTTTTTTGTTTTTTTCTTCAAGATCTTCGTCTTCTGTTTTAATAACATCATTGCTTGTGCTTTCTGCTTGTAAAGTTTCTGGTAATCGTTTAAATTCTTTTATTTGTTTTTTTATTAAATTGATTGAAATAGGCTCTTCAAATGGAACGCAGTATTTAACAATCTCTGGAATATTTTGAATAGCAATACTATCTATACTGTCTATGATCTGAGTTAGTTGTTGAATATTATTTTTATTAACCTTTTTATTATATGTTGACATTAACAATTTTAATGAATCAGAAAAAAGTTTTCTTTGTGCTTCAAACTCAGCCTCAACTTTCATTCGTTTGTCATAACTTTCTTCGTAAGAAGTGATCCAAGTAATACTCTTATTGAACTGACTTAAATTTTTATCAGTATTTTTATTAACAATATGTTCATACCAATTCTTTCCAAATAGTTCAGATTTAATCCCATGATCTACTGAACAAACAGAGTTTCCAGTAATATCAGTTATTTGGAATTCATTTATTTTAAAACAACCATTTTTTTGAAGGTCTGCTCTGAATTGTGAGATTAATAATTCTTTTTGTTGATTGATTTTATTATAGTTTATAAGAATTGAATTCATTTTATCAATAATGTCATCTTCTATTTTAATTTTTTTCATTCTTTGAACAATATCATCCATTAAAAACAAATACTCACTCCGTTCATCAATTTTAAGATTTTTTAAAAACATTGACATTTCAACCCATGCATATGTTTTAAAGGATGCTCGTGCAAATTTTTCTTGTTGGATTTGATATTCTTCAGCAAGTTTTAGTTCCTTTTTATTTGCTTCTATACGAAGCATTAGTGCTTCAATAACACAGCTTAATTCAATTCCTTTCTTTAAAACACTTTCCCAATAAAAAAAGAATGATTCCCATGGTGCCATAAACCCAGAAAACTCTCCTTGTCGTTGATTTCTTCTTGTTCTTATATCTTTTGTTATCTCTTCTAAATTCTTTAATTCTAAGATTCTTGCAGAGAAGTATTTAACACTAACAGGACCATTAGATAAAGATTTACTTATTGCGTTGATATTTGTTTTAATAATACGAGCATTTTCTGCATTTAAAGTATCAATTTCAACCCGTTTTTGTTCATAATTTTTTCTAACTTCTATTATCTGTTGAATTTTTGATATCTGTTCTTCCAATAACTCAATAACCATTTTAACCATTTTTTTCATCTCCTCAACTGAAATAGGGAACAGTGGATTAATTTCTCCTAATTTTGAACATATCTCATCATATTGGTCTATTAGTTTTGTACTTTCTTCATTTGCCTGACAGATAGAATTAGCTAACCGTTGATGAATTACTTTTAGTTCTTTGTCTTCCATTGGTTCTTCAAAATAACATTCAAGAAAACTTGTTTTTCTTGCCCAATTAAGTATTTCTTCTCCAAGTACTTTTGCCTTAGTACAAATAGCATGTCGTGCTTTTAATGAAACATGTACTTTTTGTGTTCCAATTTTCCTCATATTAAATTCATCGAAAAATGACTCATATTCTTTTGATATTGATGTAATCAATTGAAGTGCTGAATCTTTTAAAGAACCAGTAAACCTTTTTGTGCAAAATTGTGCCATTTTAGTTATCAACAACCTATCAAATGGGACGCTGTTGAATACGTCAAGATGATATTCTGTTAAGAACGTAGTGTTATTAGTTGACAATGTTGTTACAACTTTGTCTTCAGCTTGGAACCCTTCTGATGCAATTTCAATACACCTTTTTAAAAATCCACAAACATCGTTGAAAGATCCAAGGGAAATTCCATTTGATAATTCTTGAGAACGGCGAATCCATATATAATCATCATAAATATTCGAGTTTGCCATTGTAAGAGCATTTTTCAAAGCGATGTCATTTGAATGAATGAATTGAGAACAAATTGCTGGCATTTCGGAAATTGATTTTTTTAATTTAGTAACATGATGAGAAGACCACTGTGCAACTAAACCTCCAAGATTAGAAGATGTTAATGAAGTTTTATTGCTGAGTACGAATTCTGATTTTAATGTTAAATATATTAGTCTACTTGAAAATAGTCGTAATAATGTTTCAGAACTATTAGCCATTTTAAGTAATGACTTTAATATACACTGTGATAGTTCTTCTGATTTAATAATTAAAGAGAAATGAAGAATAATGATCATATAAAGAAAGTCAACAATTGGAAGAATAACTATTCCATTTAATGGTGTTTCAATAACGGCTGCATATAATAACTTTGAAAGACCATTCTCAATATCACTATTAGTAATATCTCTTTGATTCATTAACATATCAATACAATCCATGATAGTTCTTAATACCGAACGTAACAAAAAGTGTTGAACAACTAACATTGCCATATTTTCTTTTCCAGAACGTTTTATATCATCAGATGATGTTGTATCACTTAATTCAGTTATTTCTGAATGATTTACACTCCCTGTTTTCTTTCTTCCTTTTCCAGTTACTACTTTATTAATACCAGCTACAACACTTTCTGCACCTCCAACTACTGATCTTCCAAGTCCTTCAGCACTTTCAGTAATTTTCATTGTAAAATTCCCAATAAATTTTGTTGGTTTTTTAGTTTTATTTTTTGAAGGTACATTATCATCAACTGAAATTTGATGAGAAGGTAATAAAGTAATATTATTTGAAGGACTTAATGGAATTTCTAAATTTGAATCAATTTCATCAGTTTTTCCTATTGACCTTCTACACTTTTTAGGTATTTGACCTTTTAGTCCAGAATTATGGAAAGAACGTTGTTCACTTGATGTTGCTAATGTTCCCCTTCTCTTTACCCAGCTACGATCCATTAATCCTAGCTGTGAAGTAAATTCATCAGAGACATCAATAAGAATAATTCTACTTTGAAAAAGAGGGATATTTGTTGTGGTTATTGGAGAATCTTTTAGGATCATATCAATTAATCGTAAACGAGTAGAGTCATATTCTACATTAATATTAAATTTTTTTGATGTAATTAATGAAGTAAATCGTATTGCATTTGTTAAATGAAACAATAAATCACAGACACGAGTTGACACTTCTTTTTGGAAATAAAGTAATAAAGTTTCTTTATCAATGTTTTTTAATACCCAAATTAATGATGTATAAAATACTTTCCAAACAAATACCTCTTTAAAATCTTCAGTATTCCATTTTGATTGATCTTTAATAAACAACCCATAAGGGACATTAAAACTATTCTCAAAATATGATTTTTCTTCAATAGCATATGATATTAATGGAAACATTAAAGCTGCGATTTGTGATTTAAGTGTTTCGTAATGTTTAAAAGTGTCATATTTTTCAATCATAGACCCGATAGAGAGAATTGCCATTTTTGAGATAGCAAATTTTAATGACTTTGTGTGGGTTTCTTGGTCTTTGTCAGTTTCTTGTATGTCTTTTACAATTAATTTAATGTATTGACGAATCAATAACCCATGGAAGAAGTGTTCTCTTTCCATAATGTCAGGAAGTTCTGCTGTTTCTTTAAATACCAATGGTTTAGGACAATCCTTTTCATACAAAAAATCAAAGTCTCTTAAAATATTTAAGAAATCAAATCGAAGAAGATAAGGTAAATTGACAAATCCTTTATTATCTAGTCCTGTTGAAATGATTGGTAAAGAAACAACATTTAAATACTTTTCAATAACTTCAGCAACTTTACCTAATCTCCATAAATACAACATTGATCTCATGAACTCAGCAAAATAAATATTTGCATGTACAAGGGATATTAAATGTGGAGTTATTCTATGTTGGTTTAATACCATCCACCCTCCAAAAACATTTGCAATTGCATATAAATTTTCTTCTAATTGTGTTACAGAGACTCCAGAATAAATAACACTTTCTTCAAGACTAGCAGCTCTTTTTGTTTGTAAATAAGCAACAATAGATTTTTCTACCAATCCTAAGAAGAACCAAAACAAATCAAAAATTTTATGAGAATCATTGAATGATTGTAAAACACTAATGATAACTGTTAAGACATAGTTAGCAAATTCTAATGGTTCAATGATTAATGGATTAAAAGTGGTAATAAACTTTTGTAAGATTGTTGGTTTTGTTGTTGGGTAATCAACTGGACAAACATAATCTAAGAAATTAATCAAATCCATGACTTTTTTTACATCAACTGAAATTGCTTTAATATTTTGAAGTTCTTTCTGAAGAATTGGTGCGAGGTACTCCATTAAAGTAGCACGTGGAATGTCCATTAAATTACAGACATTATCACATCCTTTTGTTGCAAAGTAATCAAAAAGTTCAATGTGTGATGCATAACCAGTTGCTAAAGATTTAATAGTGACAGTTAGTGAATTTCCCCGATCAACTAAATCAAGAGTTGTTGGTAATTTTATTTGTGGAAGAGTACTTCCTAATTTAAGAGAAACGGTTTTGTTTCCAATTGGTTTTTTATTGTCATACAATGGAAGAATAGCAAATCTTTGTTTTTCAATACTATTTGGTGAATTAACACAATACTCAGTAACTGTAAATAAAATGTAATATGATTTTTCAATTGGTGTTGGAAGCTTCATTTTTATTTCATCATCCATCTGTACTGTTTTAAGAGAAGAATAACTTGCAGAAACAAATTCATTTTGAAGAGATTCTTTAAATGTAGGTGGATAAAATACTTTAAGTACTTGAGAAGAGTCTTGGGCATTAAGTAATTTAGCAGTGACATTAAAAAATTCATGTTTCTTATCTTTACCTAAATTAATTTCATTTAAATAAATAAAAAGAGAGTCAAAATACATGTCATTGACAGTCTTAGCTTTTTCTCTTTTTGCCAGATATTCTAACGAATAAATATTTTCATCTCCCATTACCATTGTTTGATTTCTACAACAATCAAATACCTTATATGATGCATTCCATTCTTTAGATAATTTCATTACTGTACATTTAAAAGTCCCTAAAATAATTGGACTTGTTCCAAACATCCCAAGTACTGTTGTTCCTACACCATTTTGTGGGCTACATTGTTTTATCCGTGTTTGCCAATTATCTCCCATTACTAATTCTCCAGAAAATGTGAATATTTTAGAGTCAGAATGATTATCTTTTGCTACTCCAGTACATATAAATTCCGGTTTCTTTATATAACGAATCTCTTCATTTTTCTTTGATTTAATAGATATTGTACTTGCTGATTTAATTGGAACTGGTGGTTCACTAAATCTACCAATTGGTTGAGACCCAAGAAGTGTGGATTCAGATGTTCTTGTAGTAGAAGTGGGATGAGGTAGTATCTCTGATTGAGTTAAATTTTGTTTATTTTGTTTAGTTTTTAAGAATGTTCCATCGTACTGTTTTTTAGCATATTCAAACAATGAATCACTTTCTCTTGCAATACGAATAACTATAAATGCATTTTTCATTAATTCTGTTGTACATTCAAAAAGAATAAACCCATGTTGAATTTCTCTATCTACACGATAAATGCCAGACGTTTCAGTAATTTTAGTTTCTGTTGATTTGTCATAAAAAAAGAATTGGATTAATAAATTTTCATTATTATCTTCTTCAAACGAAATAGAATTTATTTCAATTTTGTATGTGATTAATTCAGACTTTTCATCTTTCTTTGATACTGGAAGATATGAAATAGAATCATCTGGTGATAAAAATTCAAAAATACTTTTGTCAAGTGATCGTAGAGTATATTGTTGATATAATGGTGTAAAATATAAAAATTTTGGTTCAGTTAGTGTTGATTTTCCAAGGGCTTCTTGACTATCACTAAACTCTTTCATTAATGACTTGAAACAATCTGATTGAAAATAAGGAGAAGGGACAGACAATTGGTCTAATGGTTTAAGATAATTTGTCATTACAATTGAAGAATCTGAAAAAGGTCTACTAACTGATGCTTGAAAAGTGTATCCAGAAATTTTGTTACCTGATTGGATTGACGTTAATAAACGAGGTTCATTTCGAAGTTTTGGGAAATCAAGAAGAAAGCCATGTTTTTCATATTCTCGTTCTTGGTTATATACTCCTAATTTTTCAACTTCTGTAAAACCGTATGATGTTCTCAATTCTTCTTGTGTTTTTTTGATATAATTATCAACAGCAGGAAAATCTTCTTTATGAACATGAACTTTATCACTACCAATAACTTTATCATTAATAATCTGTTTTACAACGTAATCAGGAAGGTCAAGTTTATATTTATCACGTATGTATTGTTTGAGTTGATACGAATCTAAATAATTTACACCTTCATAATCATATTCATTAAATGTACAACTAATACTTGCCTCGTTTTTTTGTTTTTTCCTTCCTTTAGAATTAGGAGTAGAACTCATTCAATTTATCATTTTTTAGTTTTTTATTTTTTGTTATTTTCATTTTTTTTTAATTTTTATTTAATGTTATAAAATTTATGTTTTTTGTTTTTTTTTTCATGACAAAAATAAAAGTAGTTTTTCAACAACTAAAAGAAAAAACAAGCCTGACTTCGTAAAAAGTCAATGATACCATTTTATCGAATGTTAAAATAAAAACTACACAACCAAAACAAATGACAAGATGCAGTTCAATTAGAGGAGAGCAGCTTTAAGAGCTTTTTTGACAGCTTTCTTAACAGCTTTCTTAGAAGACATTTTGAGGGTTGAAGTAAGAAGGTCATCAACAGGATTAAATCTTTGTTCAAGATGTACTTCTCTAATAAGTCTTTCCTTGTACTCAGCTGGGAATTTATTGAGTATTTTTTTCATAACACCTATAATTCTTGTTTTTCTAGCATGTAATGAAACTATTTGTGATTTCATTTCACTCATCTTTTCAGCAATTTCACTTTTAGCTGATGGAAGAGCATTTTCATAATCAAGTTGAGCGTGGTCAATTTTGTCATGAATTTGTCTTTCAACGTCAAGGATCTCTTCATATTTAGTATCAAGTAAAGAGAGTTTTTGTTTGGCTTCGTATAAACCTTTAACCCAATTTCCACTTACTGAAACATCAGCACTGACGCATAAAGCAATAAGGACAATAATGAAGGCTTTCATATATAGTAAGATAATATGTATATATTTGAAGTTTTTTTCTAATAAATTTTGTTATGTTGTGGTGATTTCACAAAATGTTAATTATTTTATAATACTTTTTATTATTTAACAATTAACTTCTAATTTAATTTCTAGATTAATCTAATTATCTTAAAAAAAATCATCTTTCTATCCCATTTTTTAAGTTTTTTTTTGTTATTTATATTTTTTGAAAATTCTATAAAAACGTTAAACCAAAAAGAAACTGAACTGTAAAAAAAGAAATCGAATGAAAGTTATTACCAAATTTAACTATGATACTGAAAATAATTATAATCTCTCTTTTCATGAAGGCGATGAGATTGAAGTTCTAGAGATGAATTCAGATGGACTTTGGAAAGGAAAAATAAACGAAAAAGTAGGTATGTTTCATATTTCAATGGTTCGTTTTGTTGATCCTCCTTTATACCTGTTTGTTATTCGTTAGTACATTTCTTTTTAGACGTGTCTTTAATTAATTACAGGGCCCATGTTATGCAAGACTTTTTATGGGATAATGATGAATGTATTGCTGCATACGAAAGGGATGTTGTTCTAGTTTTAAAAGAAGAAGATAATGAATGGAGTTTATGTAAAAAAGGATATAACACTGGTTATTTACCAACAAAAATATTAAAGAAAGTAGAATCTGAGTTAACACCACGACACAATAAACAAATGACCAGAATGACAATGGGAATAAGTTTGTGTTTTATTTAATTATTTAATTTAAAGAACAACACATTAATAAAAGTAGTTCCTCAACCAACTATTTTACCATGTAGATGTATTTCACGATATGATTTTATTGCAACTTCAGATAAAGAAGTTTCATTTTGTGAAGGTGATGAAATGATTGCACTATCTAGTGATTTAAAATGGGTTTATGTCCAACACCCAGAAAATGGATTTGGATATATTCCTACTAATTATGTGATATTTGAAAAAGAAATTTATAGTGATATAGTTAACCGATATGGGTTAGTTATATTTGATTATAATGGAGATTCTAGATTCCACTTAAATGCAATCGCTGGAGATGTTGTTTATGTAGAAGAAGTTATAGGGTCATGGGCAATTTGTAAAGTTGGAGATAAAAAGTATATTATGCCTTATTGTTATATTAAAGTTCTTGAAGACTATGACCAGAAGATGGCTGAAGAAAGTGCATTTGTTTTATCTAATTTTATGTCAGAAGGAGGTAATGAATTAAATATTGTTAGAAATGAATTTGTAACAGTTTTATTAAATGGAGAAAAATGGAGTCTTGTGAGGAAAGGAAATAATGTTGGGTATGTCCCAAGTTCATTTTTAAGTATTATTCATGATGGAGAAAATTATGCGTTAATATCAGAAAATCTGATTTCATTAGATGATAATAATCTTCATGTTAAGCAATATGATATTTGGAAAGTTTTATCAAAAGAAGATAATAATGTAAAATTAATTCGAGGAGGTATTGAAACAATAGTTCCATTAACACAATGTGATATTAGAAAATTTGAGAAAACTATTAAGAGAGAATATGAAGAAGGAAAAAAAAGAATTGAAGAAACTATGTTAATTAAAGAAAAAGAAATTATGAAAAAAGATGAAGAAGAAAGAGAACAAAGAGAGGTTCGATATAAAGAAAAGAAACAAACTGAACAAAAAGAATTTATTAGACAAACAATGAGAATGAAAAAATCAAAAACTTCTAGTAAGATTAATGGAAATGATTTCTTAAAAGAATTAGAAAAGAAAAAAATGTTATATGAATCTTCAGAAAATACTGATATGGACTTATCTTCTTTTAATGCTCCTTCAAAGAAAGCAATGACGTTCACAAAACCAACACAACGAGGAAATGTAAATTTCTTAAACCGACAACATAAAACAACAACAACAACTGTTTATCATGAAGAAAAAGAAGAACCAAAAAATGAAGAATTAATCAAAATAAATAAAAGTGTTTTTGAAGGACTTATTGAAGAAAATAAACAATTGAAAAAACAAATTGAAATGATTGATACCTCCCAAAAAGATTTATTAAAAATAATTTTTGCTTTGAAAGATGAACTTAAAAAAGTAAAAGAAGAATTACCTTTAAGTTGTCAATTATCAAAAGAATTAGAAGAAGCAAAACAAGAAATCGAATCATTGAAGAAAACAAGTAATATCAATAATTAGAACTTTTGAAATAAAATTAATTTTTCTTTTTAAAGGGAGAAGAACTTAAAAAAAAATGAAATGCAATCACGTTATAAGATACAACCACTTCCCACTTTTGTTATCGAAATAACTCTTGATGAACTTTTTAGTGATCGTATTACAAAGACAATAGAATATAATTCATGTTATATCGATATTACTATTCCAAATCCAAAAAATTATACTGAAGGATTTTCTATCTGTTTTGCTTCAAATGTTCTTTTTATTATTATGGAATTAAAAGATGACATCTTTAAGTTAAAAGGAAATGAACTCCATGGATCTTGTACCTCAGATCAGTCAATAGTAATTAATGGCAAAAAAATTGAGTTTGATTTTAATAAAGAAACTGGCATATATCAAAGTGTATTTTCTAATATTAAAATATTCCTTCATCTAAAAGATGCTCTTAAGAATTCAATTGAAGAAACAAAAGAAGTACCTAAAAAAGAAATGTCAACAATAGACTCTTTAAAAAAATTTCACAAGTTACTTTGTCAAAAAGAATATTATTTAAATGAACTAGAACAATCTTTATATAACTATTAAAACTAGTTAATTTTATTCTTTATACAAAAAAAAAGAATATTAATTTTTTAATTTTATTTAATGAAATAATAATTTAATTAATTCAAATAGCATATGAAAGAAATTAATCTTCTCCCCACTTTTTCATAATAGCTCCTTCAGGGGCAGAACCTTCAACCTTTTTCTTTCCAACTTCTTCCCAATTCATATTAAGACATGTTCCTCCAGATTCTAAAAATGATTTATTCATGGCTCTTCGTTGATCATCAGTGGCATTAGCATATAATTGTTGGAACATAGCATTAGGACCTCCTTCTTTTTCATCATCTTTCAATTCAGTTTCAAGTTCTTTATCTACTGAATTCCAATCTTTTCTAAAGATATTTGTAGCAGATTGTTGGTGATGATTTTGTTGAGTTTTTGTAAGGTTTTCCCATTGACTAGCATCACTCTTCTTTAATTTAATTTCTATCTTAACAGCTCCAACCCTATAAGTAGATTGGTCAATAATGTAATTTCCATATAAATGATCAATAATTTGAGTTAATATTTCTTCACCTTTCTTTACTTCAATTGTGACTTGTTCATCTTCAAATGTAATTGTTACATTTTCTTTTGGGATATTTTTTTCAAATACATCAATCACAACGTAATCCTTTAATTGATACCAATCGTATCGAAGTGACATTACTTCTTAGTTCCTTGCTTGGACTTTTTCTTGGAAATACAACGTGGCAATGATTTGGACAAAACACATCAACACTTCATCTTTCATTCTACTCTAAAATTTGCTTTTCTCAAAAATATGTTATTAGATATAACCAAACGAAACTTTGATAAGACGAATCTTTAAAAAGAAGATGAATGAAACCCATGTTAGTTACTGTTCTTCTATTAATGATGAAAAATGGAAACAAATAGAAAAAGAAAATGGAGAAATGATTACTTATTTTTTTATGAACCAAAAAAGGTTACAAACAACAATACATCCTCCTGTTGATACTCTTATTCGCAATCGTTTTTCTGATCCTCCTATTATTAGGACTCGTGATAAATGTAAAAAATTTATGCATAAACACATTGTTCATTCAAAAATTGTCTCGAAAATACGTTCTTTTTCACATAAAACTGTTTATTATTGTCAAATACTCTTTGTGATTGGTATGTTAATTGTTATTATTGTTTTTGGTTATTCTTTCTTTATTATCCTCTAGTTTCTTTTTTTTTTATTACTTTATTAATTCCTCATTGTAATAATATCAAATGTTTTTTTCCCGTAAAATGATTTGTTTTCACAAAAAATGAAAAGTTCAATGATTCTTTATTTATTGATTCATAAAAAATAATTCATATAAAAGGTATTGATTTACAGCTATGGTTAATTAATTTACAATTTCATTTCCATTGAACAAAAAGAAAACGTTCAAGCTCTGCATCTAGGGAATATTGATTTGACTCATATGCTATATTAGGCCCAATACTTCCTTCTCCATCTATCTTTAATTCAAAAGAAGATGAAGAAAAATTAAAAAGGAGTCTATTTTGAAGTGGATTTATATTTAAATTAAAGTCTTTTGTTACTACTAATTTTCCTGTTGGTAAAACATGAAAGAAGAAAGAAGATTTATCACTCGTCAATGTCCATAAAAATTTCATATTTTGTACATCCATTTGACCTGTAGTAAATACTCCAAATACGTGTGAGTTGACAGAGATAAGAGCCATGACTCCTTTCATTCCACGAATTTTTGATTCTATACAACGTTCTGTAATTTCATCAACCTCACTATCAAATAAAATACTGCCCATAGTCATTTTTATTGTATTTTTTAAATCATTAAGAGCGTTATACTGTATTGGTGTTGCAAAGGTACTTCCCATGATAGTTGAATATATTCATTTTATAGATTTAAGTTTAAGTGCATTCCACTCAAAATTCATTCCTCAAAACGACAAACAAATCCATTTTTTTACTCATTACTACTCCCTAAAGTCACTTGCTTTTGTCCCATTTTCACTTTTCATTGGAAATTTAAAAAACTTAAATTATTAAAAAATTTATAAAAATTATCAATGAGAAGATACAAATGTATTATGGGACTCACAATAAAAATGTAATACACTATTCTGTAAAAGAAATGGCTCTCCGTCTGTTTGGAGTGGTAATACAAAATTTGGTTTTAGTGTAACTATTATTTCTTTTCCTTGTGCTAATGGAGTTGGTGTTGAAACTCCAATAGAAACTGATCCTAATTCAGCAATATTCCGAATATACATTATTTCTAACATCCCATCATCCATCCTTTGCTCTTTAAACCCGACAGGATTATTCCATAATGTTTGTCCACCATAACAGGTTAATGTTGTTTGAAATATTAAACAATCCATTGGAGGTAAATCAATTTCTTCTCCATCAACTTCGACAATGATTTTATTGTGAATATTCTTACAAGAATCATCTAACAATGCAGTTACACTCATAGCATATTTACATTTATTAATAAATCTTCCACATGGTCCAATTTCTCTTTTTTCAGAAAATGATTGAGCAACAGCAGCATCAATTCCAATACTTAAATAATTGGTAAAATGTCTAAAATCAAAAAAAGTAGAATCTCCAGGATATGTTGCTTTTGTTACTTTCCATCTATCAATTTGCGTTCTATGGTCATTCACTCTTTTCATTAATAAACTAATTGGACTTGCTTCAAATTCAGCAAGTGTTGTTGATGGATTATAACCGAGACTTAAAGATAAATCATTTCCAGTTCCATATGGTAATAGAAGATATGTTACAAAAGGTCCAAATTGATCAAGACAAGATTCAACACTCCCGTCTCCTCCACAAATTACAATAATTGGTTTTTTCTCTTTTGAATACCAATCATTGTTTTGAGATACTGTTGATCCTTTTATTGTTAATTCTTCAATTTTAATAAATTGCATTGGATGAAAATAACTTCCCAATAAAGAAATAACTTCTTTTGAACGTTTTCCACCACTAAGTTCATTTATGATAAAAAATATAGGATGTTCTAAAGGTCCCTTTAATATGTACCGATTTTTGAAAATAACTTCACAAGGATGAATAAGATATCTTCCAAGTTTCCCACAATCACATTTACGTTCTAAGTCATCACTACAACACTTTTCATGAACTGACTTTTTACAGTAAATGCAATGAAAAGAATTTCCATCTTCTTGACAAATTTCTTTTTTACATACTACACAAATCCCTTTTCCTTCATTTATAAAATAGTGCGTTCTTTGATCACTTTTTAACATAAGTTGTCTACAACAATTTAACAATTTTGGTTGGCATGTGTTATGGACAAAAAGAGAACACCAAATACATCGAAATATAGTTCCTCCACTCTTTCCACATACAACACAATTTCCACCTGAATAAGATGGTTCAAATGAGTGTTTGTTATCATCTCGAATATTTTTACTCTATCTAAATAAGTGTTTCTTTGTAATAATATAAAAAGTACTACAAACATAACAGTTAGAAACAACACTCTCCTGACAAAATTCATGACAATACTTATTACAGTCTTTACATTTTAACACATTTTTTCCATTACAACTCATTCCACATACAAAACATTTTACATTTTGAGGTGTTTGAACTATCTCGAAACGATGGTAGATTCGTTTGAAATTCATCATCTCTAAATAAGACATTTCTTTGGGTGACTGCTCTAGTGAAGTTATGATACTACTAGAATCTTCACTACTTTCCATGATCTAATGAAAAATGATTAGATGAGTTTTTATACACTACAAAAACGAAAAATTGATAAATAACAAAATTAAATATTTCAAATCTTAGTTAATAATTGATTGGTTAACTAAATAATTAAACTCACTCATTAAATAGAATATAACTTTAAAAGTCCTGTGACTTAATTAGGTTTTATGGCACATATCCTTCTATGAAATTAAAAATATATCTGTATTATGAAATATCAGTATTATTATAATAAAATTACTACTTTTTGAGTAAATCCCTTTTTATTCTCCTTTCCTGTGACTTTGTCTTTTGTCATTACATTTAATATTCTAATCAAATTATAATACAATATTATTGATGCCTCTTCTTTGTTAGAATTATTGAATTTATTGAGAGTAAAAATATTCTTTAATTTGAATTTAAAGAATGGTAAGTAACACCCATAAATCTATGATGTTATACTTAACATTTTTTCAAAAAATTGTAAAAGATTAAACAAAAAGAATCTCAGGTATTAAAGAAATAATGGTCAATACAAATACAAAAGAAAATGGAAATGCTTTGTTTGGTTGAGTTACATGAATGAGGTATTAAAAAGATAATGAACTGGTGCTAAGTTTTATCAGCTTGGAAAGAAAGATATCAAAAGTTATATTTGAGGTTGAGGAGATTGGAAAATATTAGTGAGAGGTTCTAGCAATAGAGAACTTAACTGAAACGTATGACGTGGGTTGAATTATTTTCAAGAACTCAAGACTTATGCCAATGTTACAAACATTATTAATACACTTAAAGATAGGGCATTATCATTAGATGGTAAAAGAAAGGTAGACAATAAGTTGGAGGTCTAGCTGTTGACTAAAAAGAGAAGTTTTGCATTTATAGATTACCAATTAATTGTTTTAGTATCAATACTGTACTACTATTGGTTTAATAATTAACTAGATAAAAATGGCTCAAATCTATGACTGCCATAGACTTGAAAATATTAACAGAGAATTGTGTTCCTTCTTAAAAGACTGTCAAGATGACTATTGTTCATTATATCATTCAATCAATAGTCTGTTTTATAAACAAAGTATTATCTTATTTTTTATTATTTGATCTACTAATTTGATCTTACTATAAAATTTTGTATTTTATGGTATTATTTGGTTTTTTCTCTTTGAGTTTCCTTTACAACTCAAATTTCTTATTTTTATTATACTTTTTAATTTATTTTACTATTATGAGTATAGTAAAAATTTCTTTATTCGATTTTTTTTTTAACTTTTTTCTTTATTTTTCTTTTTATTTTTTCTCTTTTCCTTTTTTTATGTTTTTTTTTTGGACATCATTTTTTGTTATTTATCTCTTATTTTTAGTTACATTTCTGTTTTCCTATATTATATGATAATTATCCCTAAGATACTTTTTTATTTACATTATTTTTTTTATTAATACTTTAATTTGCTCTCTTTAATGTCATGTGCTTATTTATTCTTTTAAAAATTAATCTACGACATTATTGCATATTACCTTTATTGCATATAATTTATGTATTTGTTCTATTTATATTTTGAAGTTGAAAATAAAATGAAAAATAACTTTAACATTATTAATAATATTTCAATTTGATGAATTTACAGATTATAAATAAATAATAATAAATGAAACATATAAAGAAATAGTATATATTTAAATGAATAAAAAGTAGTTAATTAAGTATTAATAGAAATATCTTCTATTGTTCCTTGCTCAGGGGAGACTACTAATCCCGTCCCGTCCCTTCGCTTAAAAGTATTTGTTCTTCAACTATTGCCTTATTCTTTGCTTTTAGTTGTTGAACGATGAGAATTTTCTTTTCTCATTTTTGATGCGGAATAGAGTATTTAAACATCCCTTATTTAAACATTCATTATTTAATTTCTTTTTAATTTCGATGGGTTTAAATTTCTTCTTCTTTGGGTTTAGACTTCTTCTTTGGGTTTAGACTTCTTCTTTTTTATTTTCTTATTTTAAGGAGAGTATATAATTACCATTGTATTGCTTTGGGCTAATATTCTTTTAGCCTCATCCACTTGACCCTTTTCCTTTGATAATCTTTCTTATATTATCAAATAATACTTGTATTCTAACAAGTAATAATAACATCTTTATAAATACCCATTCGTTTATTGTCAATGATATTCTGTCATTGTACATAATAAACACTGCTATTCTTGCAGTACCGGGTAAGATGTTTTTCTAACCAAACGCAACGTCATAACCAGTCCATAACTGGGAGGAATCGAGGGATGGAAATATTTTAGGGTTCTGTGTGGTGTCTTTGACGTGCTACCTTCGAATCCCGTATATATTTAAATGAATAATATAAAAAATAAAAATAAAAGAGAAAATAAGATATAATAATTATTATATTATTACTCTTTTTATCTTATCAAATTATCATATTTTATTAGTGCCTTCTTTCATCAATAACATTATACTATAATTTAATATGATTATATAGTTATCTATGATGAAAATAAAAGGATCTAATTCAATTTATTTTGATTTGTCATATTATCATTTCTTTTATTAATAAATTTATGAACTCTTATCTTTTTATAAGCCAATGAAAGTACTATTACTTTTTACGTACAATTTCAAATAAAATATTTCATGATTTAGTGGTTGAATGATCTTATAATAAATAATTTAAATTGAACCAAATAGTCCATTAAATTTAACAATAAAATACAAAAATAATTAGAAAACTTCATTATCTTATATAGAATACTTTTTCAATATTGAATTTATAAAAATAAAATATTACTCAGTATCAATAACTATTTTTCACTTAATTTTATTCAGTTTTAATTCATAAAATTCATAAATCATTTGTATATATGTTAATGCATAAAAGAAATTTAATTAAAAATAAAATAATGAAATAGTAAAAATATAAAATAAGAAACGAATTAAATAAAAATTATCAAAAAATAATAGAAAAGGATTAAAAATTTTTTTTTTGATATATATAAAGAATAATAATGGTAAATTAAACAAAAATGAGAAAAAAATAACCTCCAACATTTCAACAAAATTTTAAAATAGCTAAGAAAAATCAAAATAAAAAAGAGAAAATTCAAATATGGGTAACATAAAATAAAGAACTTAACTATGATTTAAAAACATATGTAATGAGGGATTTCTCTTTCAATCTAGAAGTTAAGAACTAATAATATTATTTACTGGTTTATAACAAATAATGACCTAACATAGTACTTAATTTAGCTGGTATTGTTTTAGATATTTATTACTATTTAAAAATTGACAAGAAAGAATCAACAAAAGATTTTATACTCCAAAGAGATATATGTAGCCTTGATTCTTTATAATACAGAAATAAGAAGGTGATTGTTCTAACTTTCTGTACAACACTGTTTATTTATTAATAAAACATTGTTCTTTAGTTTATTAAAAACCTATAATCAGTACTTTGATGTCTTTGAACAAAACAATAATTAACTTTTATTGTTCAAAGGAAACAAATAGCCGCTCATTATTGAGCGGTGTTCATTAGTTTTTTTGTTCTACAGCATCTCTTGTTCAATTAAGGAATAAACTTTTTAATACAAATAAAATAGATTTTGAACTAACTAACTCATTGACTAAAAACTAAAGGAAATATAAATAACTAATAATATAAATTGTATTGCGATACAAAGTGTATAACAATAATACTGAGGTTTATTACAATTAGTTATCATTTGAAGATTTTTTAAACTCATTCATCATTTCTTTTGTGGTTTGTAATTGAGAAGAAGACAAATAGTCAAAAATGTCATAAAATGATCTCATCTCTTCTTCTGTCATTAAAACTGTTTCGTTCCCATTTGTTTTTTGAGATTGAAGTAGGACCTTATTTTCTTCTACAAAATAAGGACTGCCACCAATAAAGAATGTATGAACGTCATCTTCATCTGTTGGGATGATAATTTTGTTCCATTGATTTGCACAGGAAACTTTTTCTGAGTCAGACTCCTTATTAAATTCATTTTCTTTATTGCCTTTATCATATCCCGAATAAAATTTGTTTGATATCATGTTTAGTTGTGAGACAATATCAAAGACGTTTGTCATTAATTCGTCAGGAGTTACTTCGGGACTGATTTTAGATTTTTCAGTAATTGTCTCAAATCCCATTCTCATTAGTTTGAGATCAATATCATTTTCTTTCAATTTTTCCCAGCCTTCAATATATGTGTTTTCCTCCATTAACTGAATTTACTAGTTTCTTTTTATTTTACAGATGTATCAATTTGTTTATACCACTAGCTTCCAATAAAATATTGAATTTAACAACACAAAGTTAATTGAAAGTAATTTTTTGTGTTATTTGTTAAAAGAGGAGTAATGTGTTGATTAATATTTGGGTTGGAAAATTGAACCAGTTAAAGAATGATGAAGATTAGATTGAAGAAAAGTCAGAAAAATTAAAAACAAAAAAGAAGAAAAAAATGTGAAAAAAACTTTATTTCAATCTTGAAAAAGAATAACATGTCACGAAAATCAGCATCTATTCCACCAGTAACACCATTAGTTTGTAATGAATTACTTTTTCATTTAAACAAAAAAGAGTTATAAAAAAAAGAAGTTAATTGATTAGGTAACTGCACTTGAAATTGTTGAAGATTTTAATAAAATGAAAAAAGACGAAATATTTCCAGAACAATTTTCTATAGACATTCTTTCAAATAGTGTATTACCAATTTGTTTGTTTAATATTAATTTATAAAATAAAGAAGGTAAAAGGATTATTGATTAAATATTGATATTAATTGTAAGTTTCTTATCTTTTTACCAAAATTGTATATATAAAATAAAAACATAAAAATTAATAACAAATAGTAAATA